CTGATTCTTTCTTGAATAATTTTGAAAGGTTTTCTGCCGAACGTTACGTTTCTTTTCACTTACATTGTTTAACTCCCCTTCCTTTCTCTTCCTGCTTTCTCCAATTGTTTCTACTGATTTCCTTCTCATTTCTTCAGCTTTTTCCATTTCTGCTATTTGTTTTTCTTTAACTTGCTGGGATGCTGCTTGCTGATCATCAATTGCTGCATCAAAAAGCTCCCTTATCTTGCAAGGAGAACATGTTTTTCTGTGTGCTCGGGATTAATTCCACTCGCACTTTCTTCTCTTCTGTTTTTGGACTTTTTGTTGGTGAAAATATTCTGGAAGCGATCTCTCACTGCCCTGCAGGATACACCAAATTTTGGCCTTTCTACCTGCGAAAAATTATCCAGTTTTCCTCCACCCATCGCTCGTCGGCCCACCAGGACACTTCGAAATTTCCCGGTACGCCCTTGCTTCGAGTTATATTTTTCAAAAGACTTGAAAACTTTCGAAAGGCAATTATTAATATTTGCACAGAACTAAAACTGATTACAACCATCAATTGACCTCTCGAAAGAACGTTTGCATAAAAAGTTCGCCGTGGTTATGGTTTCGGCGTCATAGATTTTACAGTTTAGATTAGCTTCACCATCAAATTGAGAAAAATTATATCAATGATGTATCAAATTTCCACCAGTTTTTGCTAATTCCTCGTAATTGTATAATTTATTGAATGGTTTTCTTGAAATTTTCAAAAACGCCCAATACTTGTTTTTAACCAAGACTTATGACCAGCGCAAATCAGTTTCTTTACTTATGACTAATGCGAATTATTTCAAATGCCTGATATCGAATAGTTGAGAGGGTTCTCACTTTGAAGCATTAACTGAGTACAATCCTATGTTCTTTCCATTCAGAATGGTTGTATCTGGATAAGATTATCGATGCGTTGGCAGTTGGGTATGGGAACGTTCACATATTACCTAATCAAAGATGGAGGGAGGGGGTTCACATAAATGTTTACGGTCATAATGATCAATAAATGATGCAAATTAGATGATAATTTAGGGGGAAGAAGATTTTTTTCAATGTTGCCTATATTTTGTTATGTAATTTGTGCATGTTCCTTTCTTGAATGATAATGCTCTTTCCAGGGAATATTTCAGTGTGCAGTATCACACACTTTGTTCAGTATTAATTTAAAAACGTACAGTATTGATTTCGAAAATGAGCAGTATTGAATTTTGGGATTTGTGAAAATGTCTTTTTGCGGCTATCCCAGATTCCTGCTTTGCTCACAAAATGTGAATTTTCCTCGTCAGTTCGATAAAGAGTTCATGTATTGTAATTCTCGTATAACCATCGGAAAGACGCTCTTATCAAAACTTAAAACAAAGCGAAATTCCTAGAACCAAAAACAAAACATCTCCTGTAAATGTCAGCATTGCTGTAAATTTAGTAATTTGATCTTGTCGAAGATAAAACATTCAGTAATAAATTATCTGTTGCCCTATCATGCTCTGGGCATCTAGCAGAAGCTCACTTAACTTAACTAAAATAAAGATAAAGAACCTAATAAAACTTTTAAGTTAATAGATCGCCTATTCTTCAAACAGACCCAACAACCTCTGTAATGTATCGGTCGTAAAAATCGGTATTACAGACCACTATATGACATACAGTATTAGAAAATTAAACGCTAGAGTTCATGTCAATGACGTGAAATTCAAGACAGAGTTACGCAGTTTGAAAAATTATGACCGTGACTCCTTCCTTAATGACTTGCGTAGTATTGACTGGGAGGTGGCTATGTCATGTAGATCGGATGACCCTAATAGGATGGCTAGCAATTTCTACGATCTCTTTCTCGCTGTCTTGGTTGTGCATGCCCCGTGGAAAAAATGGACCGTTAAGACGGGGCATGCACATGTACCATGGATTTCTCCAAGCATCAAGAATTTAATGTGCGAGAGAGACCGTATTAAGAGACGGGCTGAGAAAGATCCAGCACTATGGCCAAGATATAAGCAGCTTCGAAACCAGGGGCGGTCTGGCGTCAAAATCGCAGGGTGGCTAGAAAACTCAAGGGCCCGGTTTAGGGCGTAGCGCAAAAATTTAGCCACATCCACTAAAAATGTGTCTTATAATACGATTGATTCAATAAAAATTTATAATAAAGCAATACGCTAAACAGCAGCAGCATATCGACTTTATTTCGTAAATTCAGACCCAATTGGATCCATACCTTTCCTCTCGTGTAAACAGCCTTTAAAATCCCATATAGTGTTAGGAATCAAGATCAAAACTTATTTAAATTCTCAGAGTTTCAACTCTTTTCGAAGAAGTGCAAATGATTCAGCAAATTGGCCAATGACTTGCTCGTAATCAAGCGGAAAGTTTTCACTTCTTTTGAAATTATCAGTAGCGCTGAATAATCTTTCAAAGGAAACTTGGGTGCAGCTAATTGTCATCAAGCATTTATACGCGTTGTAGAAGGAGGGGTATGCTTCTAGGTGCGTGTTGTATTCACTAATTTTTTTATAAAAGCCAGTAAATTTAGGTTCAGGCTGACTGTTCTTAATTTTCGCAAAAATCCGAGGGTGGATTGTCCTCAATTTGTTCTTAAATTAATAGGGTGTAAGCAGTGCGATTGCTAGCTTTTTCGCTCTTGGGAGGTGTTCAGGCATTATTTACCAACAAAGTGAGTGAGACAGCCTTCATTTGACGACAAAATTGAATATTCACCAAAAAGCAACCACATGGCTAAAAATCCTCGTTTTGGGATAAAATAATGTTCAAAAATGCATTAAACAGTAACTCAGCCTTAGCTTGTTCCTAATTTGATCTCAACTTTTGACCAGTTTTGATGCTCATATTCTTATAAAATTGTTATATATGATAAAAGATATAAATATATATAAAAAAATAGAAATGAGCGTCGGTTTACGCGCTCATGATGCTCTGCTTGGAATTCTGTTTACGTGCTCGAAATTTTGTGGCTCTGGGACCCAGGGTACACGTAAGATTGAACACATGGCTGAAATAACGAAAACCAGGGTTTGAATGGTTTGAAGCGCATGTATTGGGACTTTAATCGCAATATAATCAGTCTAAGGCATTAAGTATGTGACATTTAGTTAAAAAAATTTCTCCAACGCGGAAAGGCCCGTAAAGTTTTTGTACACAGGGCCCGGGTGGCCACCCGGGCCAGACCGCCCCTGACCACACTCATTGCTTGTAATTATTCTTCAGCACAATGCGTCCCTCCCCGTATCTTTAGGCCTATAAAATACCTTCGGGGTGCACTTTCACGACAAAGATTTCTAATTTGGCCTTACCAAGAGGAAATAAATTTGATTCATATATGCCATATTAGGTTCTAAACGACAGACAGAAAAATTCAAGAATTGTATATCTAAAATGGTCTATTTCATTAGATAATAGACATAAAACGTTTTTTCTAATCTATATGAAGATAAAAATTGCAAACACATACTTTTGCAAAACATAAAAACACGACAAGCCACTGCAATATTCCCCCCGTAACTGCGTAAACTAAAAGAGCCATAATTTTTAGAATTCTCTTTAAAAACTCCAAAAAAATTGTTATGTGTTGTTGATTTATATCTCATCTAACTACCTGCATCAGAAAAGGCACTGAAATAGTTGTGAGACACGAGACAATAATTCATTAAAACAAACAGTTTTCCATACTGAACCCTATTGCAGCTCGCTTATTGCCACTATTTAAAATGGCGGAAGTTAACAAATTTGCCTCACTCGGCAGTACGCAGCATGACCAGAGTTAGACATCTAGCGCCTTCGGCGCTTCTGCATCATTGTCTTTAATCGTTGCGGGCTTTGGAAGAAAATGCCACCAGTGGCGGCGCCAAGAGGTGGTATGGGGGGGGGGGGTAATTACCTCCCCACTTTTCTGAAAATATAGTCTATATATTTCTTCTAAAAATGGATTAAAAAGCGCTGGGTAGGGGTAGATCAAATTTCCCAAGGAAAGAGACGAATCACTGGAACGAGGCAAAAGGGGCGTGGTCTCACTGGCCACACCCATTACCCTCCCACTCTGTAATAGCTGGTGCCGCCACTGGATGCCACATTTTGCTTCTGCCATCAAATAAATATTTCCTTGGTTCAAGGCATCTCTCTTAAAAGTATGCGAAAGAAAAGAAGAGTATCTTATTCCAACTATAACCCTTGCTGTAGTAAAATCTCCCTTTCTCGCAACTACTGCATTACAATTTACAAAAAGCACGCAATGCATTGTAGAAAAAACTTCCAAAATATTGAAATTTTGGCTCCTATCTGCAAGAAGTTGTTTTAAAGAGGATGATTTAATTTAAGGGTTAAAAACAACTGATAACAGGGGGTGTTCTCCACACAACTAAAAGGGTTTCATGCTATTGCTAAGGATCCCCCCTCCAGTACAATTGTCAATCAATTTGCTCCAGTACAAAATAAATTTGCTTCAGTAAGTTTATTCGTCTGTTTCAAAAAATTGCAAATGTAGTTTCTGTCCATTTTTATGACTAATAGACAATGATGCCTGCACCAAGGGGCAGCGGGGGCAGTGGCCCCTTGCCCCAGCAAAATTGAGCATTTTTCTTCGTATTGCTATTGCTTTGCCCTTTTCGGCGCTTTACCCCCGTCGCTCTCTTTGAGTACAGGCTTCTCTGGTAATAGAACTAAAAAACTTATCTTTCGCCATCCAAAATATGCTCTATAGAGTATTTGTTTTTATTTCTTGTGCCATTTGTTGCATTTGATTGCCAATGTAATTGATCATTTTGAGCTGCATCTGATGTTTCCCCTTCTCAAGGCCCCAACCATTCCCTTATCTATTTCCTTAAAATCCCTCCCCAAAAGCTTTCTCCAATCAAACCCTCTCTTTTTCCTGCCATCCCCTTACCCTTCCCGTCTCTGCGGAGGAGGAATAAATGCCGCGTTGGCTCATGGTATTGTTCTTTAGAAATCCCAACATGCAACAGTAACTAGTGCCACTCCCTTTCAATTCTCAGCGTAAATTTAACAGAAGTATTCTTAGGAAGTCGATTTAAAAGAATTGTCTCTACCAGGATATCGGAGTTTTTACCTGCAATATCGAAGATAAGAGTTTGAGCTCGTCCATTCATGAACAAGGATGAGCCTGGTAATGCTGTGTTTCCCTTGCTGTGAAGAAGAGCAACCACCACCGGTACGGTACCAATTTAAAGTTCGTTTGCCTAGGCCATTGATTTACCTCATATATGGCCTAAATTTGTTTTATCTCATATCTGACTTAACACTGTAATTGTTTGTTGTCATCTACGCATACCTGTTTTATATTTTTAGAGGAGACGGCCGAAAATTGACAGATCTATGATCGGAGAGCCGACAGGTTTTAAGGTATGTTTTTATTCAAACATACAACGAAACAACAAATATCCGATTGCGGTTAGAAAATTATTTGAGTCACTCAAAATGGGTGGTTTCGTAATCATTCCTGTTGATTCGAAGTAGAATTTGTGGTTAACTTTAATTAGCCTCATTGTTTATTTTGAAATTGCATTTACCGCAAAAATTAAACATAAGCTATGCTTTTATAATGTTTGTTACTACTGTTGTGAAAGTATAATTCTAACCCAATGTCAAGACAACCTACAGTCTCTTTGAAATTCGATGAAATATTGCCAGATCAATCTCAGCGTTTTTCATGTAGATGTTTTTCAAACTCGATCGATTTATTATCAGTAAAAGTTAGTGCTTTCTACAAGTCGACCCATGGTCTTTTCTTTGTTTTCAAAGCCTAGGTTTTTTGTATTCCCTTTGGTATTTCTGTGGTGGGAATTTTTTATTTTTATTCAATTTCGCTTTGGCATGCTCCCTTTCATTTTTGTTGAATTTATCAAGTATAGTTTTTGACACTCCTCAGTGTTATGTAAATCATTTTTCCATCAGCCATTCTGTTGCCAATGGTGACTTATCATGAATTCTTTGTTCTTTTGTTAAAAAGTGCAAGTTGTTTGTCAGTCAGGCAAAATATATTTTACTTGCAGAACATTTTACCTTAATTGATAGTTATTTTTTATAAAATTAAGCAATTACTATAATGGCCTATCAATTGCACAATAAGTAAAATTATGGAATTTTTGTAATCCTTCCAATAGGACATTTTTGAACCATTTATGTAGGAAGAACAAATATATATACGAGTAGTGGTCCTTAAATAGCCTTAAAGGCTCTTCAGAGACAGTAAAAATTATGATATATTTATGATGATAATAATACAAATATTTCACCAGGATAAAAGCTTCAACTTAAGTATTGCTGTTTTCAAAGAAAAGAAAGGAAACGTTGAAAGCCTAAATTACAATTTCATAACCATGAATAAATAATTTGTTAAAAGTTCTTTTGTTAAATGTCCTATTAAAGACCTTTTTCACAAATATTTTGTACATATATCTTAACCAATCTTTTATTATTTCTTAGATACAAGATTTAATTTTAAACCTTGTTATGCACATAATAATATTGCTATGGATATGTATGTAGATTGCAATCTAGGATCAAGGATGAGAATGTCTCAATCCTATTTAATCTATTTAAAAATACATTTAAGCGAAATTGATTAGATGTACTTTAATTAAGTATGAGAAGAAAACTGAAATAGATCTATAGATTCAATTGATATAATCAATCTATTATATGAATAAACTAAACTTCTAGAAAAATGGATAAAAGAAATCAAAAGCCCAGCCTTAGTTCCGATGTTTTCACAAATTTCCTGTTTTCAAATACATTTCCCTATGTTTCCAAATATTTCCGAAGATGTGTGAGAATTTCATTTGCATGGTGTACTTTAATAGCTATGATAGATTATAAATTCAGACCATTTGCAAAGATACCACTCATTCAAATTTTCTTTCAGTGTACACCGTCTGAAAAGAACACGCAGGCTATTTGCCCCTATCTGCCTAGTTTACTCAGCTTTAAGTTTATTTGTTCATGATCCATGCATTTACTTAAGGACTTCTCTGAAATCTGTAAGAACCTTCAGGACAATAAGGAACTTGTTTCTACACCAACAGAAGTAAAGCTAAATCATTTTTTGTGCTGCAATTGACCTATTGCATCATCCATCCCAGCTTTAATGTGGCCTATTCATCCGCAAGCATTTATAAAATGATAATGGCTAAACACAAACAATCTAAAGTATATATATTTCAAATGAGTGAAAATTTCTTTTTGCTTGTATTTTGTAAATGCTCAATGCAGTATAGGCAGAGTTGTACAGGCTTTTGATATAACAAAAAAAACAGTTCTAAGTTGCTGCCCTGTGCCCTGAGTTTCATGTTTAATTCAGGCATCAATCATGTCCTATATGAAGCTCAGTGTCTTATAGGCAGAGAGCTGTAAACACTTTTTTCAAGATGGTTCTATTCGCTTATTATTCTGTGTTTCACACTCAATTTGGCATCTTTCATCTTGGCATCTAATCATGCATCTTTTCATGTATATATATACTTTTTATGTTTTTTTATTTCTAGTTTCTTTGTCTGTTTTTCTTATTTGAATGTTCCTGTACATAAATTTCAACTACAATGAACTGGGTTCGATTAACCAAGTTAGACTTAATTATAAAATTTTTAGCTTTTCACCCTATTTTCATTTTTATTATTCCTCCACATTCTCACATCACAGCACAGACAACTTATTTGTCACTCACAATTCTCACAGTAAGGGGAACTCTTCCTTAGAGAAATGGCTGATGGAGGACAAGCCAAGTACCTCTTTTCCAAAAGATCGTTGACATGTCCTAAAACTTGTTAACTCATTCACTACCGTAAAGTTTACGCGCCAAATGGCCTTCGATCCCAGGCTACGAATTTGTTTACAATCGCTTCTGTCCCAAAGCAAAATAGCAGAAATCAGAAAAGAAAGTGCACCAAAGTTTTTCTCAAATAACTTTTTACGATGGCTTCGAACAAAAAAATATTTAATATAAAAGTTACTCTACATACATTGAAAAAACGGCTTATCTAATTTAAAACAATGTAAAAAATAATGCGTCTCTTGTATTTTAAACTTTACCAACCTAGATGTTTGGCATTGTCATTGTATGGTATTCTTCGAAGCATTCTGGACACAAATGTATCCTTTCGTTGTTTTTTGCCAATGCTGTACATGCTCCACAAATGTATCTAGGTTCACGGCGAATTCCCTTTTTATGGCAGTTTCTACAACGACCTTTTTTGTCCTTCAAAAATTTAGGCCAATGCCCAGTGGCTGCCACCTCTCCACCAAGGCTGGCTGACCCACGCTTCCTTTTTCTCGAAATCTTCTGGCCAATAAGCTGCTTTGTTAGAGCCATTCTAAATTTCAATTGTGTTTTGCCTTCATCTTTCCCAGACTTGTTTTTCGTTTTGTGGTTTGGCGATTCTTTAAAAAGGATAAATGAATTTGCCACACTTAAATCAAATAGGAACCAGAAAATATATGTCCACCAACGGTTGCAGCGACGATAGGTCATATACTGTGTCCTTATCTGGTCATTGCGATCTACAGCATTCATAAATTTGTTGTAGTTTGAAACTTGGATTGGACACATAACTGGAACTCTTGTTCCATCCCTCTGCTTTCGAGCAACAGATGAAATTTCGGCAGACGGGTTGACGTTGGCCGAGAGAATCCTCACTGGCTTTCGAGACTTTTTCTCTCGCCATGCCACGGCTGACAAAGCCGATCCCCCTTTCTGAAACTGGATGTAAGATCCAGCTTCCTTGCATATTTTCTTTCCTTTTATTTCTTGTGGGAGTCCTTTGGCATTAGACTTGATCGTGCCACACAAGTAAACTCCTTTTTCGAAACGTTCCTCTACACCCGCAACAGTGGTGAAATAGTTATCGGTGTAACCGTGGTGTCCCTTGTTTTCAATATTTTCAGTCAGCTGCTTCACCACTTTTTGACCTAGATTTTTCTCTGGCTCTTTGCCTGTGGGTTTTCCTGTGTAAACAAAAAATTCGTTACAGAACCCATTCAGTGAGTCTGCCCTCATCCACACTTTGATGCCGTATTTCGTTGGTTTGGCAGGCAAATACTGCTTCAAGCTGGAACGCCCTCTAAACTTTATCATGGCCTCATCAATAGCAAAACATTGATGAGGGTTATATGCTTTCAAGCAATTTTTACGAACAGCATCAAGGATAGGTCTCACTAAAAAGAGTTTATCAAAGTGTGGCGAACTTTTGGGAGGCATTGTTGTCCGATCAGCAACATGAAAATATTCGTTAATTTTTTGGAATCTATTCCTCGACATCAGATTTGAAATAAAAGAATTTCCAAATACTGAATCTTTGCTCCAATATTGCGCAAATGACGGAAAGTTCAAAATACTCATAAAAACTCTGATTCCCAGATAAAGTTTGATTTCTTCGACAGTTGTTGGATACCAATCGTTGTCTGGAACCAATGGAGGATGGCGTTTGTGGAGAGCATACTTGTTCGTCTCAGTGCTAATGTGGGCGTACAGTTCCTTCGGAAAGAGAAGTTCAAAAAAGTCAATTTCACTTGCATCTTCACCCAGAGATTTTGTTGGACCAACTGGTGAAGTAAAATCAACAAAATTGTCGAAGTCTTTCAAATTCTTTGTCCAATTGCCCTCTTCTGTGATGATTTCCTCATCGGGCTCTCCCCTCTCACTATCTTCCGTGTCGCTTAGGCCTAGCGAATCAGCTGATGAACCATCAATGTCTATATCGCTCTCTTCTTCGACATCAACGCCCCTCCGTCTCTCCACCAGTTCGAAATTCAGTTCTTCATCTAAGAAGCCATAAAATGGTTCTTCGTCGCTATCAGAGGATGAAAAATAGTTTGCCATACTTCGTTTCTAGAAAGTTTGATCGAGGCAAGTATGGCAGCGAACGCAAAAGTCAACCGTCAAACCTTTGAACACGTTTTTAAAGTTTTTTTGGTATGGGCACCTATTGTTTTTATTGTTTTAAAACAATGCGTCAACATGTGCCTAACTGACTATAAAGTTTGAATTGGCCAATCAAATACGGTTTTCGTAAAAATACCATTGTTTTTCAATGACGACTGTAGTCGCTATTGTAATACTACTGAAGAAAATGCGTGACGACTACAGGCGCTATTGTTTGCAAATTGTTAGCAGGGGATGACGACTATAGTCGCTATGGGAGTGAATGAGTTAAAGGCGCTATATCCCGTCAGTCAACCATTCAGAGTTAACATTAGGCTTGCAGCTTGTTTAAAATAAAAAATAATGAAGATTAGCTGATTGGCTATGTAACAAAAGGTCTATTGTATAGTCTAACCAATGGGAATTTAAATGGCCAGCGAAATGGGTCTAGACATAGTGTCCTTAATTTAGCACTTGATTGTCAAAAACCAGTACAATAATATGAAATATTTATTTATACATTTGTTTTTTCTTTTTTAGCACACGGGTCATATTGGTTCTGGTGAAGTTGCCACAGGCTTTGATGTAAGATCAGTTATCTTTAGTTTTATTTGTTTTTGAAAGTTCTTCATTTATCATTATGTAACCTTTATAATTTTTTGAAACTGTCATGCAAAAGGTCATTAAAATGACAATATTGTTTTCAAAAGCAAAAGCAATATGTTTTCATTGCAAATAAAAGGAAGATGTTGTTTGCTTAAAGTTAAATATTTGGTTTTGTGGATCATTTTCTCATTTCTTTTGGAAATCCTATCAGATTTGATCAATTTCTCATGCCAAAAAAGACTCGGCTCAAGTCTATAGTTTTCCCTCCCACTCAGGGTACAAAAATGTTTGATTACGTGACAGCTTTTAGGCTCAAAAATATTTGATCAGTGACATCTACTTCAGTACTATATTGATTGAATCCAAGTGAAGAGAACCACAGGATAATAATTTATAATTGATGATTAAGGTTAAGGTTTCATTCCTAGTAGAACAAGGAGAGTTAGGATGCAAGCCCTATTATGTGTTTCAACATTGGACCTGAAATAGTCCTGATATATAATAAGAAATGCAGTTTTAAAGGCCTGTAATGAGATGGAATTTCAGCCTAGACCATAGGGCTAAGATCCAGAAAGAAAGGATTCCATTCTATCAGCAATAAGAGGCTTGAAATCCCAGTCATATGATGAAAACTTGGGCCTAGTAACTTGAGGCAAGCCATAGCTCTTGCTTCCCTCCGGGCATCCTTCAAATGCTCAAGGGGAGCTGCTGGTTGCTCTCCTTAACTGTGCAAAAAAGAAAAATTCCCTCCTTAAGCATAATTTTTCTTTTTTATTTGTTTTTTTATCTATGAATAGCAATAATAACTAGGAGAGCTTTTTACTACTTCCCTGCTAAAAGGTCTTATGAAAACTTTCAATTCATATTAGGGCTTAAAATTCAAATGCACCTTTGATGGACATATATTTGATGTATCTATTAGAATTCCATGGAGAGTATCTTGAAAGATAAACTATGGTTGAATGAACATAACAAAACAACTTATACGATCAGAAGATAAAACTAGGCAACATTACATATTAAGCATAAGAGTAGTAAAGGCTGGTTCACAGCATGACTAAGCAAGGCTTAACTTAAAGTGTCAATCAATGATACAATGAGTCAAAACATGATAATAGTAAATGTCTTGTCAGTATCCTCACAGCCATAAATCCATGTCTAGATTCACAGTGTACAAGACCAGATGCAGTCAAAAGGAGGTTATGAATACAATTGTGCTTTGTCGACGGCAGAGCCTGACGGAATAGATCTTTCACATCAAGCTGAAAACAATGATACAGGCGACAATAGTGAAAAATCAAATGGACAGACAGAAGAAGATTCACCGCAGCCGAACAGGACAGAGGAGCCTAATCAACTATGATCGATCTACTAACTTAAGGTAAAGACTAACTTAAGTGTTTTTTAGTGTAGCAACTTAGAATTGTCCTGCTTTATACACGGATCGCCTACAGTTCTGCCTGAAAGGCACCTAGCTGTTTTACGGAAAACCGTTAAACAGTGATTTTCATTACGTTTCTTGACTTTTTATGTTTTGTCAACGTTTGTCACTCTACCAAACAATGTTTCTGGATATACAGTTATCTCCACTTAAAGTCACTTCATAAATGGTAACAATGTTTTTTCACACTGCTTAAAGACACACAGCCAGTTACAGACACAAAAATGCAAACCCAAAGATGCCAAGCAATTGATGATTTAACTATGTTTAATCAAACTGCTACCGTGAATTCTCGAACTGGACCCCTCCATTTGTTATTTTTGCCATCTGAGGTTGCCTATGATGTTTTATTGAATTACCAAACAAACTCATACTTTTGGTAGTAATAAATTAAATGCTCATTAAAAAATTCCTACTAGAATGAATCTTTTAATAATGTCTTCTTAATGTCTACAATGATTTTATAACCCCCCCCTTGAATAAGCCCCCCCCCCCTCGAATAAGCCAATGATTTTATAACCCCCCCCTTGAATAAGCCCCCCCCCCCTCGAATAAGCCCCCATCCAAAAATATCAAAAATAAATAAGCCCCAGGGGGCTAATTTGAGGATTTACGGTATGATATATGCCTTGTTCCCATTCTAATCCTGTAACATTCAACTCTAAGATTTTATTGTGTTTATTTTATCCCTATTTCTCTTTCGCAGATGTAGCTCACAATGCAGAGCATAGACAATTAACAATTCTGCGTTCCATTGGACTCCAAGCATCTGGTATTCTATGCAGAATTTGTTGTCCTCTGTCCACCATACAACTGTATGTGAATTTTATAAATAAATATATAGAGAGAGATATTAAATTAGGATGTTGAGATAATGGGCAAGTTTTTTAGTGTTTTATACATATTCGTAAATTAATTGTCAAGAATGTTCAGCAGTTATTGGTTAATCATTTCTTTCAGCATATTTGTATAAGTGACATTAGGTTCCCTTTATAACTTCATTAGTAGGCTTCATTATTTCACATTTGCCTAAGCATGGGTTTAAAGGTCAGGTGTCAAAAGGTCATGTGTCAAAAGGTCAGAGGTCATGTAAAGGTCAGAGGTCAAAGCAATGGTGTTTTTCTACATGTGTCTTCCCCCTTTCTTCTGGCCACAAATCTTATGGCCACTTTTTATGAAAAATTGCACGTTCAGATCTTAAAAGATCTTCCCTTTTTGTGGTAAATGTTGTCCTTTTGTCATAAACCCTCTTATTGCATCCCAAGAGGTCCCAACATAACTTTACATTGGTCACAAGTTCTGTTTGTGACATTACAACAGAACAATATCTGCTTAAAATATTTTCAATTCAGCCAAAAAACTGACAACGATGAATGCTGTTCACAGAATGTTTCATCTTTTAGTTAAGGTTTTTACCCAATTTAAACTGAATAAAAACTGATTACCTAATTCTGTTTTGCCGCTGATCTCACATGACATTTTGGCCCCTGCTTGGTTTAGTAAATTCACAGCCCTCTCTGATTTTCAAAGTATCCGATCAAGTTTTGCTAGATTTTTGGGGGATCTATTGTTTGTTTCATTTCAACTCATGTTTAATTTTAAGTTCATAAGCCTCTAGGGACAAGGGTTCCATTCCCCTGACAAACCCCTGGCCCCACCAGCATGCCAGCTATCAAAATTAAATACAGCCCCTAGAAAAATTAGAATTGACTGAAATTATATTATTTCACTAGTTAGAAGAGAGGTTTGGTCCACAGCGTTAATGAAAGAAGGTTTGAACAATATGAATTCCACATTCTTAAAGCAGTATATGTATTCATTGCTCATGCTCTGAAATATTTGATTATTTCTCCAACAATTTATAATTTATATTTAAATAGTTACTTGTTATGGTATCCCATAATGCTTTAGAAAAATTCTATATTAATTCAGGGCAATAATAACAGCATTGTAAATTCCTGCCAGGCTCCCCCTGTGTTTGTATAAAAACATATCAAAATATGGTTCAATTTAATTTTCTCAGGGGGGTGGGCATACCTAAGGCCTCCTCTAACTCCCTGTGTCGTCCTTACCCAAGGAGCATCAGGGGGTCACTGTTAAAGCACCAATAATAGTTTGACCACAGGGTGTTAATGGTGTATATGTTCTTAAACTTACGTTGATTTCAAAGTTTGAAATTTGATTTGAATTTTGCTTTTGTTGGATTATATATTTATAACAATGATTACTATCCTGTTTAAGTGCTATTATTATAAAAATGTATTATGTGGTTATGTTTTTATTGTATTACCTTCCACTGTATTTGTTCTTGAAATGGTAAAGTGCTGGGAATATACCTTAGGAGCTTTACAGTTGGGGAACACAGGGATCTCATTTGAAGCCGGTGTCATATGCGTTTCGGTGTAACATTGTGAAACGCAATGTGTTTCAGATCATGTGACTTCATCATTGTGCGATGTTTTGACACGTTTTTAGAGTTTAATATTTACACTTGTCAATCACGCAAAGTTTGGAGTCGTCATTAATAATTTTTTTTGCATAAACTTAACAACGGAAATCACAGCACCGCTTCTTATTTGCATCCCTTTTACAAAAATAGTTCTTTACATTCTGAACAACATGAACCAGAATATTAAACCGGTTCGCATGCTAAATTCCAGGGTTGCCAGGCGCATGCTTAAGTTTTAAGCCAAACCGTTGTCAGAAAAAAGCCAAAATAAGCCAAATTTGTTCTGCTCCGAAAAAGCCAATAAAAAAACAAAAAAGCCAATTAAATATCTAAGAAGCCAAATTCATTTAATTTGGTAGATTGCCTCGAGGGCCATATCGTGTAAATTCAATCAGAAAAAATTTAGCCAGGGCGCAGACTGCATTGTATTGCTTTAAAAATATTATTGTTACAAAGAAAGTTGATTGAACGACGCTTTTTAAATGATGTCTTGTTGCTATTAGAAATATTCCGGTGGAGGGGTGCAGGTTTCCTACCTCTTGAAAGCCGTTTCCCCAAGTTATGGAAATAAGAAAATTGAGAATATAAATTGTTTTCTTGGACATAAAAAAAAGCCAAAATGCCAAACTATTTTTCCAAATCCAAACAGCATTTAAAAAAGCCAAAATACATTTTTGGCTTAAAAAAAGCCAAGTTGGCAACCCTGCAAATTCCACTATTTGTTTTGGTACCCTATTGTTTACATGCTTGGGTACGTTTTTGCATAACCAGCATTGTCGTTCGTTTGTGTACATGTTGTGACCACGGCCTCAGTTGGGACACAATATCATATATTGTAAAAGGGGGGGGGGGGGAGTCAGGCCTGCTGAGAGTGGCAGGAGGCAGACTACCTTTTGGCCCAGAGCTGAGAAGGGCCCCAAGAAGTTTTGACAGATCTCTGGCTTTGTCATTGTTTGCCCCGAACTTAAGAAAAGGCTTTGAGTAGGACCAACATTAACCCAATGTTTCAAAGAATACAATTGCTACAAAGAGCGCTAGTAAATGTAGATTTTTGATGTTGATAAGAATTTATTTTTCAGTTATAATTCGAATACAATACATAATTTACATCAAAGCAGTTTAAACGTAGTAGCAGCTCAAATACTCTATTTTACTTCTACTGTTTCCTCTTCACAAATGTTGGCTAGTCCCTCGCACCCTGCTTCTTTCTCTTCTCTGTTTCCTTCTTCGCTTTCTGCTACTTCTTCCTCTCCCTCTTCTTTTCCAGCTTTTTCTCTCTTCTTTACTCTCTTTTTCTGCTTCTCCTTCTCTTTCTCTCTTCTTCACTTCCTTCTTCACTCTCTTTTTCAGCTTCTCCTCTCTCTCTTCTTTACTTCCTTCTTCATTTTCTCCTTCTTCGCTCTCTTCTTCTCCTTCTCTCTCTCTTCTTCACTTCCTTCTTCGCTTTCTGCTTCTTTGCCCTCTTCTTCTCCTTCTCTCTCTCTTCTTCACTTCCTTCTTCGCTTTCTGCCTCTTTGCTCTCTTCTTCTCCTTCTCTCTCTCTTCTTCACTTCCTTCTTCGCTTTCTGCCTCTTTGCTCTCTTCTTCTCCTTCTCTCTCTTCTTCACTTCCTTCTTCGCTTTCTGCCTCTTTGCTCTCTTCTTCTCCTTCTCTCTCTCTCTTCTTCACTTCCCTTCTCGCTTTCTGCTTCTTTGCTCTCTGCTTCTCCCTACATTTTCCTTCTGCTTTTCCTTTATCCTCTCCCCCTTCTCCTTCCTCTTCTTCTCCAGCTCTTTGCTTCTATTCTCTCTCCTTCTTCACTAGCGTATCTTCTCTCTTCTCTTCTTCGCTCCATTCTTCCTATTCCATCTGATAATTCTTTGTCACTGGACATTATTCACAGATAAGTGAATTTCATTTCAGAATAAAAGACCCCACCATGCTGACTATCTATATGATGCCAGCACAGATAATAGACAAGACGGTCGTTATAAGGCAATGGCGGAAACACAGCATTTAGATGTGCATTTTTACATTTTCCGAACCACCAAGCCCCCTTTGTGGCAACGGCACAATTTTTTTCGTGAATATCATTATCACGATCGTATGTCGAAAACTTCCTGTTGCTGCTGTAACCGAGGGAATCACCTGCATTTCCACGATACGTGCCAACATGCAAACGATATCCGTCCGCCTCATCTGAAATGCTAAAGTCCTCATATTCCGCGTAGTATAATTTACTTCTGTCCAGGATATGCTTCAATTCAATGCGCAGTCTCGCCTTGCGGCCGGGCGGTACCAGTTTGTGAATCTTCTCTAGACCAAGCCAGAAGTTTCCGGACATCTCCCCAAAGCCTTGTTTATACTGATTCCAGTTTCGGTAGAATGTGACCGAGCGATCAACGCGTCGTTGGAATACAATCCACCACTTGTTTAATGTAATGAAGTCGCAATATACCAAAAACTCTTTAACGCTGTCCCTATACGGATAGATTCCGTTCTTTCGAAAACCAGATTTATGTAGAAATCCACAGTCTATTAAAAAAGAAACATTAAAACGGCTTAGAAAAAAGAAAACGTTTTATTAACATAAAAGCTTTTTCGTCTGACACTCCTCAGAGCATAAAACGTCAGCATAAGGGTCCGAAAGAACACGATTAAAAAATATATACCCAGTTGTGGATCGAAATAGGCCAATCAGAAAAACGCAAGCACAAGACCAGTTATATGTAGTTGACCAATCAAAAAGAGAAACAGTTCGTTAGGGTCATCGCAATGTGGGTTGCGGGGGGTGTTACAGCCCCATTGACTGCTCAAAAACGAGGGGTGCTCAATCGAACAAAATTAAATTTTGAAGGATAATAATAATTATTATTATTATTATTATTATTATTATTATATCATTTCTAAACTTATTATATATATATTATACCATCATTAAGCAACAAAAACGGTATCCATTTCTAAACTTTCCAACATTGCCATCCGTACTACGTACTACATATTTTGTTGCAAAAATAAGCCATGGACAAATCCGGAATTACATCCTTTTTAACGTTTGTTGTTTTATCTTTTTTTTCAGTTTTTCCTTTTACCTTACGATTGTTATAGTTTTTTCTTGTAAAACCAGGCTAGCCAATTGCAAATTACCTTGTAATAGTGAGATTTGTAATTGTAGTTTAAGTTGAATTGAAAATGAAATGTTTCCATTATTATTATTATCAATTCTTTGACTTAAAGTTCGCAATTAAAAATACAATTTATGATAAAAAGTCTAAATTTGCACCTTTTAGTATTTTATTCATCTGTTTCGAAATTTTTGGGCAAGCAACTTCCTCAAGCAGCTTTTTTCGTAACGGTGGTTTGTTTGCAAGTGCGAAAGTCGAAATCGATCTGATCAGCGAAACCCTCTCACCCCCGCAAAGGTTTTTCAACGGATTTCAAGAGTTTATAAAATCGACTTCTGGGAAAACTTGGGTGGACATGTCTACCCAGTGTCGAGGCCATTGGGAAGGGGGGGGATTGCTATAGCCCTTGCTAGCCCAATGGCTGCGCAGTGCCTGCAGTGGCGTACTCAGGGCGGCAGCAGTGGGGGTCTGGGGCGTATTTTTGACCACGCCCTTCAGACACTCGCAAATGCGGGGAAACGCCCTTTTTGCAAAATTTTCCCCCAATTATTTGATTCATGTTAGCTACGGTAAATAGCAAAGTATTTTACAATTGTTATTGACACAAGCATACAGTATACAACCCCCCCCCCCCAATGAGTTTTACATCGTTTTTGGACAAATCTCGAGAACCATACTTTAGAAAAGTGGGAGGGGGTCCGGACCCCCCTATTCCCTCCCTTGGTTACGCCACTGAGTGCCTGGTGACGAGCCTGCCAAAATTACTTGAAAAAGCCAAAAAATCCCCAAAAGCTAGAAGAAAGCTAACACTGGTTATTCACACCATCTTGATCACGGGCTCCCTAGAATACCAATCAACCTTAGTCTTGTTTTTATCTCTCTCCTTCAATGAGCAAATTACATTCTTTGGGCAAAAGTAGAAAGAAATGTAGTCGACCATTCTTTAAGATTACAAGATCGAAACAAATTTGTTCAAATATGTTTTAAAATGCACCGCCCACCGTTTCTTGAAGTATTTATTGTGGGCTGTGTATGAATTCTTTTGTGGGCTGTGAACACAGGCCTCCTAAATTTTCAGGGTGCTGTACTATTGTAAAATAAAAACTTTTGAACTGAAAAAAAAACAGAAAGGTCATTGTCTTGTCGTAGGAAGCAATTCAAAAAGGGGGCACATTTGGGCAAAAGGGGGCAACTCTGTAAGCTGTAAATAAGCACTTAGCCTCCTTTTTTTAAAAGTGGGGACATGTGCCCCCGTTGCCCCGTTTTTACGTGTATGGCCAATGTTGTTCTTGCGGAACCATGATGATTATAATTATTGCAACGCTTTTCAAATGAGGCGTGCCTGTGTGCATGTAACTCATCATATGGCTTACCTGTGTAGTGTGGCGCACATTGGTAGCCAGGGCAACTGCATGTGTCCTTGCATATGTAACCATGCCGACAGGGCTTTAGTTCTTGACACAATTCACCAACCTAAGTAACAAGGTTAAGTTAGTTTAAACTAAGTAGCAGATTAAGTTAAAACTGAATCTGGATTTCATAAACCAAAGGAAATGATTGAGTCGAGCTTCTTGCTTCACTTTTCTTGAAAATTTGAGTATGTTGTGAAATAACGTTTTATAAAAGCTTGAACTAATATATATCCCTTGCGCAGTAAATCTGCGACACGATAAATTCACCAAGTTGTACATCCACCGTACGGGGAAAACGCCTTGGGCAGCAATAAAATGTCCTTCTTCAGAATGGGTGTAGAAGAGTCATAAGAAAGGGATTTAGTTATGAATTGCGTAAACAATTAAGGCATTTATCAGTGAGATTTTATCGCCAAATTTTTGTGCAGCATGCAAAAATAAGGAAGTAAATGGAGTAGGTTAATATATTTTTACTTGGTAATAAAGACTATTGTTTACCGGTCGGTCATAACTGCTTGATCACGGTCCGCATATGCTTTCGAGTAAAGAAAAGCTCGTTTCTAATACTCGGAGCAGCACTTAGAACGGTCCTGTTCTACACACCGAACAAAAATTATTGCGACTTTGTTTATCGGTCTACCATCTTGAAATACAACATATTCTATTTTTTTTATAAATGGGCGCCCTAAACTTCTTGGAGTGTCTAACAGAATGGCGCTAAAATAGGGGGGGGGGGGGAGGCTGTTTTACTTTAATAACTTTAATAAGTTACTACTTTAATAAGAACTTGAAGGGCATTAGCTAAGGGCAAGTAGGCGTTGAGAGCAGATTGAGCATCAAGTGATTAAAGAGTTAGAAGCCAGTAAGAGAGGAATAGACAAGAAAAAAGTTAACGAAGGAAAATTCCAAAAACAGCAACTAAGAAGGGCAGAAAAGGCAAAGTTCAGTGTTGCAGATAGCACATTGTTTGTAACTATGAAGATACTTGGCTTACGATAGTAAATACATGGTTTACTGTTGTTTTTAAGGGTTTATTTGAGTAAAACTTGTTTATAATACTTACCAGTGTCTCACTATAATTTGTAGCCCTGTATGTCCAGCCGATCTTCTCAACAAACAAGGCATCGTTTGGTAAATGATACCTTGACTTGCTGCTTAGTTCACACAACGTACCGTCATCTTTGGTGTTCACAGTTTGACAATATGGGTTTAGGAGACACAGCTCTTGGCATTTCTCAACAGGCGTATTAGAAATGGTCGCAATGACGGATCCTTGTAGTGCAGCATTCTTCTTGACCACAGTAAAATAACCGTATTCAAGGCATGGCAAGCGCAATATTGTGGCAGTAGATCCCAGTATCAGACAGAGCAAAGCAAGAATATTCGCCATTCTGTCACTGGAAATCATTAAGAAAGAGACAACACCAACAAGTCGCTGGAGATGCAAGATCTAATTGCGTGCAGCTTTCGGTTATCAAAGGGACCCTAAATGTAATTAAGCTGGTAAATCGCCAAGAAATGATACCAGCAATAGGGGATTACGTATCTGCTTATACCTATGAGAACATTTGACTTCATCGGGTATGAATTATTCATAGTCTAACAATTAATCATTATGACCAAATACGTATGTGGAGGGCAAGAACAGCGAATAAAGTTTGTTAGGTGCAAAATTATTCAATAAATATTCACGCCTTTAAACTCGTATTCACTATTTTTCTGCTCATATTCACGTTTTTTCATTCATATTCTGTAGAAATTATGCAATGTACCAACACCAGAACTTTCTGCTGGTTCAGAGGTTTAATGTTAAAGACTCATTGCTAACAATGGGCCTTTGCGAGCGTGGCGACGGTCCAAACAACGGCAGTAATTGATTTTAGACAGTCTAAAAATGCATTATGGGATGCTTACGTAGCGCAATGGCTCATTGTTAGCAATGAGTCTTTAAAGTGCCAAGAGAACACTAAAGGAAACACAACAGTTGTATCCAATCCTTCTTCATTGTACACCTCGGTACTGATTATCTTTCTCTCTATCGCCGTTTCTGTCGCTTCTTACCTTACAATCAGACGTTTTATATACTTTTAATCTACACAAACTAAATATGTCTACCAATCAGCATTTAGAAAAACAGGATACAAATTTTATGTCAAAGATTGTTATGAATAACTTTAAAATGCATATACGGATTAATAAATGTCGTTAAGCTGTTTATTAAGACCGATGAATAGCTCGAGTCAGCCCATGATTAGCCTGAGTCAGCCTAACACTTCGTTAACCAAATCTATTATGGGTACCTACAAAAACATTAATTATGCAAGCAACTATATGAATTACCAAAAAGAAAAAACAAATCTCTATGCGAAAAGCATGCGCTGCAGTGATATATTAAACGCGCTGGCATGAATGGAAAATCCCAACATACTCTCGTCTTTTTATATACACGCCTTTTTCCTTCACATTAACATCAAGTGTTTCTTCTGTGCTTGTGATTCCAACTTTTATCATTTTCTTTCAAACTAAAAGTTCCCGGATCATGAAAAATGTCGTTCTACCTTTTTCTAAATGCTGCTTGAGTCCATCATTTAGATATCGCCTTCCCGCCAGTTTTGGCGCCAGGGGGGGGGGGGCTAAGGGGAGGGGCTACAGCCTCTTTGCCGGAAGCATCTAGCCACCCTATCGGAGGAAATTTTAGGTTATTGTCGGAGTAAATTTGACAAAATAACGTATGAAAACTGCATATTTCAAATAATTTTCGCCCCCCCCTGTCGGAAGCTCAAACCCCTCTGTCGGAAGATTTCTGGCGCCACCTCTGCTTCCCACCAACTTTTTCCATGCACACGTTCTACTAAGATCAAGATGGTAGACCAACAAGAAGAAGAAGAATTGTCAGGGAAGAAATTTCTAGGATATCCACATCTGGCATGCAAAGCGCACATGAAATATATGCCATCTTGCATATATTCTGGAATTGATACGGCCAACTGAGTCTAGGCCTTCCGGGATGGGCTTCTGCTGCTGAAGCTCGTTCAGAGAATGTTTCGTGGAACTATTTCTTATTTCCTGTTTCCTTGCGTAGTCTAAGAAATTGGGAGGGAAAGGGAGTCGAGAGGAAAATAGAATAAGGGGTAGTTTTACTCATAAATCAATGTCAAAATGGTGATGGGCAGTTACCCTAACCCCCTTTTTATTCGCTAAATTCATACATTTAATAAAGGGCTCGAAAACTCGTCGGATGTCTGAAGCATTTCAAAAGTGGGGGGCACAGAAAGAAAGGGAAGGACACTTAGCCCGCGTCGCAGACCATCATGGTGAGGGGGGCTAAACGTGCTAGAAGCAAAATCAAGGCAACTAAAAAAGAAGATCAAGGCATGGTCATAAGTTTTCTTAAGCCCCCCGAGACCCCGCTTCAGCGCCCTGGCAGCATATCACAAAAAGGGCACACTTTTACAAAGGTTCTGTGACACAGGTTACGAAAAGTGCAATTTTTCCAAAAGTTGGCAAGATGGAAACATGTGTCTCCAGCGCATTCCCGATCTTAGCGACCCTACCATCTAAGGGTCTTCACGAAGGGGGGCTAGGGGCCACCACATTGTGGATGACAATAGAGCTTTTCAAAACAATAGAGTTTTGCAAAAAATAGTATTTTGTTATGATTGTTAAAATCTCCCTTGGCCCCCCCCAACTTTTCAACCTGCGTCGGAGCCCAGGAATATTGCGTCAAAAGTTTGAAAACCTTAAAACCCTTTCTGGGGTGTCTACCTTTGCATGGGCTCTGACAAAGGTTGAAAAGTGGGGGGGGGGGCCAAGGGAAAAATTTAACACCCATAACAAAAGATTTTGAAAAAACTCTATTGTTTTGCAAAAAAGTGGGGGGCCAAGGCCCCCATCCGGCCCCCCTTCGTCGGAGGCCCTGCTTTGCTTCCAAGGGCCTCCGAGCTCTTACTGTTTTTGCGGGGTGATGACGTGAAATGTCTTCCTAACCTCATGCTGCGAAGGAGATAATATTAGTTGTTGCCATGCCTACATCACTAGGAACGGCAAATGTCAAAGGCCTAAATCAAGAAGTGTTTGTTTAGGAAATAAATCCACAACTTAGGAACGAAAAAACACACTATTTATTGAATTAAATACAGTTGAGTGTGGTCAAATTTATAGTGAGATTTTAATCTGACTTAGAAGACACGGATCAAGGTATGTACGCGTCAACTTACTGAAGTTTGATATGATTTGTGCAGTCGCGTTGAAGTTTCGGACTTGTAGTTGTAATGTCAACGATTTACACATGCTCGTTACTGAACTGAAGCAAAAGGCTGGAAGTTACTGATTGCTTGTTTTTGTTGAAAGCAAACGATTTGATATCAATATACATATTTTGATTTGTTAAATCATTTTGGTCTCGAATGAAGAGCACCTGCTTCAAGAAACGAATCCTTCAATTAAATTACATCCTGCTTGGTGGCCATAGATGTCTTTTAGTTTTCTTATTATCAATCAAATGTGGCCTCTTAGTTAAATTTTGTTTTCAGGTTTGATAAGGTTTAATTAGGCTGGCAAAGTTATGAGAAGTAAAAAGTTCGGTTTTGATTTATCATATCTTATTACTCCAAAATTGATCTGATTTTGCTCATTAATTACGAAAAACGCGGTAAAGTCGCCATCAAACAAATCCTGTATAAAAGTATACCATCAGCAATTCCAGATTCGATCTTTGGAAAATTTTAAATTCCATGCACGCTATAAAAAACCAAAGAACTCCCTTATGCACCTGATATCTACATGAAAATGATGGCTTTCTCATACAGGCATTTCATATTTTTACACAAATGTTTTACTTAATTGAGCCTTCTCAGAAAGTTGACTGCAATGTTTTAAATTTTTAGACATTTTCTAAATAAAGGAAAGAAGGTAAAGTAAACGTAATTCTGATAAGATTGATTATAAATGATTATAAATAATTTTTAAACAATGTTATTTTCATCAGCTTATCCAAAGCTTTTATTCAGGGTGGCCACCCCCCCCCCCCCCCCATTGCTCAGAAAGTTGATGTCTGAGAAAAGTGCAAATCTGCGATGGTTGATATTTCAGACCAAATTAACATGTTTTGAAAGGCTGCAAGCAAAGAACTGCAAAAAATTTTCTGAAATGAATTTTAAGCTTATCTAAAGGGTGTGGTTGCAAAAATTTTCTGCTTTCTTTGCTTGCAAAGGACCCTCGTCTTTGCCTCTACAAAATGTTTTACAATTTCCCCTTGTTTTAGGGTTTCCTCTCGTTCTTCACATTCTTTAGACATTCCTGATTAAATGGAAACTAAAATGCTAAAGTGCTGCAGTTGATAAAAAAATGAATTCAGAAATGCTTGTCAGTGATTTCGCTCTAAGGAAAATGGACTTAGCTTGAACCTTTGGGCACAAAACAGGGGTAAACCCCCAGACCCCTGCTATTGGGTTCCTCTTTGCCCCTCTTATCTTCCAACCCTGGCTACACCAGTGATTATACAGAGTTCTGTAGAGCTGAAATTCTTTTAAATCATAACATCACAAACCACAAGATGTGTAGCTTAAAAAGTTGTGTGTAAGCAAATTGTGAATGTTGATAGAACCTATTCAATACTAGGACTGAATTTTTATGAACAGGCATAAAACTGGCAACCATTTGCGTCTTTATAATGCAAGAAAAGCTTTGGCATCATTAGCTTGTAATGAGATCAGGCACCGCAGAGTGGTCATTTATTTTCTTTACTTGCATGGTCTAAACTGGAATTTTTACACCCAAAGCTGATTACACTCTGATGAAAATATATCATGTACAGGCACGGCAGAGCAGGAGAGCTGGGGGTAACAAACTACCAGTAAAGCCTTTTTTTATACAGTTTTAGTCTCCCCTCTTTTTTTAGGCCCCCCAGTTTTCTCAATGCTCTCGGCGGTGCCTGATGTATATTATCTGCGGCAGGGCCATGGCTACTGTTGCTTACAACCCCCTGAAAATGTCATAAAAATCCAGGGCCATTGCTGTAGTGCCAAAGAGGGGTTTCCAAGTCCTATTTCCCAAAAACTGGGTGACCAATCTTTTGTTGCCAACAAGTTTGAAATATTGCTGATAAATTTGAAAAATTGGCAACTAAGCCCTCCTAGATTGCAAAAATCTTCTCTTTTTTTGCTATAAAAACATTTCTTCAAGGAATGATGTCACACAGCTTAGCCAGGTTGGTAAGCTCTAGGGGGGGGGGGCAAAAGTGAGTTGAGCAAAGGAAAACTGGGGGTCCCCACCCTTGTTCCTCAGTTGAGCTATCTCATTTGTCTCTTTAGTTCCAAACAGTGGGGTGACCCCAATAAATCTACCCTTCATACCACACTGTCATTAAAATACTTCACATCATCCTTTTCAGGTAAATTGTCTTAATTTGATAAACAAAGAAGGGACTAGCATTCTAAGATGGGTTGTTCCGCTTCGCAACAAGCGCAACATGTGCAACAACCCCATGCTAATGGCTCTGCAAAACCTCCCATGCACCCGAACCAACCAATGCAACAATCTCCTCCACAACAGCAAGCTCCTCTACAGCAACAACCTCCTCCACAGCAACAGCCTCCTCCACAGCAACAGGCACCACCACAGCAGCAAGCTCCTCCACAGCAACAACCACCTCCACAGCAACAACCTCCTCAACAGCAAAGGCCCCCTCCACAAGCTCCCTCAGGGCAAGAGATTCCCCCTGAAGGACCACCACAGCCACCAAGAAACCCAGCTCCTGTGCCAGTGTCACAGCCAGCACAAGAAGAACCAGCAGCGAATCTCTTGACACCACCGCCTGAAGGTGACAACAATAATGAAGGTATGTGAGAAGACTTCACCTTAAGTCCATACTGTTTTTTGCAAGGATGAAATTTAAATGTTCTGAAAGCAAAAAGTTAATTTCTAAAGCTTTTGTGTGCCAAGAGGTCTAGTTCATTTGTCCCAAGTTTATAGCTGAAAAACCTGCGAGAAGGGCACTAAAGAACTAATTTGTACCAAAATTCTTTGTCAAAATGTTTGCATGTCCTCTCTATTTTCATGATTTTTACCAGTGGCAAAAATTGGGTAGGGTCAGGTGATAACTACACTAGATTTTATGTGTCCTCGAGAATTTAGCCGGGAAATTTTGAGCTTGGTGTCAAATAGCAAAAGTACATAAGAAAAGACCTCTCAAACAGACAAGTTGCAAAATTCAATCTTCTTGATCTATTGCAACAGTAGAGGTTTTTGTGTAGAGTTAGAAATTATTCTGCAGAAATTATTCAGAAATTATTTCATGCTTAATGCAAACATCAGGCAATATTTCACTGATGTAGATAGGCAAGCATCGACCACGTGTTCAAATTTTTTGATGCAAAGCCAACGAAATTCATTTTCTAGTTAGAACTTTTTTCCCTTTAGATGACAAGGTCGAGGTGAAGATCAGTGAAGAGCAGCTTGCTGAGTTTAAAAAGCTTCATCTTGAAATAAGAGAAATCGAGAAGACTCAAGACGAGACTCGCCTCGGCATGAATCAGACTCAGCTGAGCAGCTTGCAAAAAGCACTGCAGAATGCAGAGGCGACTCTTACACAGCTTCGACAAAACACGTAAGTTTAACATCTGACTTGCAAAATACGGCTTTTGATTAATACAGAAAGTAACTACGAAATAGGCGAAGGTGAAGAATCCGGTTCAGATTATCCGATTAACTTCGTGTCATACAAGTCGAGGGGTTTTTTGACTGCATCAACGAACCATAGGTCGCCTAGGTTTAGGGAACGCTCTCCTGAAAATATGACATCTAGCAAAACATGATACCTCTCCGGATTCTTCATGTCCTCCACGAAATAAATACTTTAGGCCTAAGAAACTCTTAACTTCGAAAGAATGTGTTGTAGCGTTCCCTAGCAATTTTGAGTCAAGAGAGAGTGTAAGCGACCACTGATAAATAAGATGCTTCCTTGCAGTAAGGGATAGTCTTGAATACAGCCACCAATAACTTGCTTACACTCTTTTTTTATAAGAACAATTTTAAAAGAACACGAGCCTCAAAATTGGTCAAAAGTTAAGAACGAATTGCGAACAAGCTGAGGCTGAGCTTCTGCAAAATGCAATTTTGAACAACGTTTTTTCTCAAAATCGAGGATTTTTAGCGATGTGTGGGTGCTTTTTCGGTGAGTATTCAGAACATACCAGGATGCCGGAACAAATTTTGGGGTAGGAGGGCTCTAGTAGAATTTTTATCGTAGTTTTCCCACCATTATCTTTGATGCCAAATCATCAATATCATTCTTCAGCAAAAACGAAGGGGCTATAGCCCCCCAACCCCCCCCCCTCGTCTTTGACGTGTCTGTTTATTGGTAACTTTGGCTATAATCTGTCTTATGTACGGGGTCTTTCCACAGCGCTAAGGAGGAGCAAGACGTTGTGGGATTCAACATTGCGCAGTACATGATGCGCAACAACATGTCGATGATGTCACCAGAGGATGCACTTAAAAAGGAGCAGCAAGAGTATATTGATGCAAAGAATAAACAAGATGTTGCAGAGAAGCAGGTAAGGTTTGTTTGATGCGGGTCTTTCTGCGTTCCAATGCAGGCTTACCGCGGGAATCTGCAGGACTTGTATTTGAACTGAGCCAAAGTACCTTTTTATTGAAGCACAAGGTAATCGCATAAAATGAAATTTTATCCTTGAATGGACAGAACAATGTACAACAGTAAAGCAGGTAAGGTTGTTCTGTTAATTGCCTTTGAGCGCGGGCCTTTCTAAGTTCGAATGCACGCTTACCGCGGAAATCTGCAGGATTTGTATTTCAACTTAGCCCAGGTATCTCTGGTTTGACTTTGGGCAGAAAACGATGTGCGAACAAGAAGCAATTAACACTGTCATTTTGTATGCTTGGGAGTGCATGTCGTTCTGAGTTTAAATGCAGGCTAACCGCGGAAGTCTGCAGGACTTGTGCAACCACTTAGCGCGGGTATTTTCAGAAGTTGAGCGCAGGGTAACTGCACAATAATTAGAGTCTTTAACATTGCAGATAACAGAAAATAATTAGCTGGCGAGATAGAGCTAAAATTTTTCTGATGTCTGCTTGCAAGTTTTTCTGAATTAAGGTTACGGTAAACGTTTTGAACACGAAAATTGGTTTTTTCTTCCTAAAGGCCAAACGGCTCAAGGAATCTGGATAAACTATATATCATTCGATGCACAAGATTATGGCGTATCTAGCCAGATAAGAAGTATTGGCAAATAATGTTAAATGTTATTTTCCATGTGAATTTACTGGTCAAAAAGTGTACCACCTTCAAAAGCTATTATGTACCCTTGCGTTTGAGGTAACAAAATCTGACTTAGACCAGCAGGAAGTGCAGGTCCTAAGCTACCAAAGTGTGTCTCAGATTTTTTAAATTTCTCCTCTTCTTGAAACTATACCCTGTCAAAAATTGGCAAATAATTGTTCCACCCTCCCGCAGCTGTATTTGGGTATAAAAGACGGACCAGAGAAAATAAAAAAATTTTGAGACACACTTTGTTTGCCCAACGTCTGCCCTCGCCGTGTGCAAATTTTCGAGCCATTCGATTGGTTTCGAGTCCGGAGAAAACGGGATTTTACTGATCGCACTTGCAAGATACACTCGTAAACCACAGTGTAATCCGGGTCAAGTCACTTGAAGATTTAAGATCAATAAGCCTGTTTAAATAAACACGGCCGTACATTGGGTATATGGATGTGCCATGCGATATTGTAAATGAGACATGCGACTACAACCGCAAAGCAACGATAATCGGCTTAAAAGGTCAAGAGATTTTCAGGCCTCAACTAAAAGTTTTGATAAAGAAATTATGGAAACCTTCGTTTACATGGGATTTTTTCCACTTTCAAAATTTCTGTTTATTTCAAATTTGGTATAATTGTGTGCCTTGAAAGTTCGGCTACTTGAATGTGAAAAAATCGAAAAAATGATGTTTTCATCCAGCAAACGTTTACCGTAACCTTAAAACGGAGGCTAACCGCGCAAAGTTGCGAGTATTTTACATGATAGGGAACAGCAAAGCAGACAGTGTTGCTGATCTAAAGCAGACAGTGTTGTCTTCCAATGACCACGGATATTTGTGCGATTGCCCGCGGAAACTGCGAGATTCGCTTCCATGCAGCCTCCTCTCGATATTACACATGCGCTCTTCAAAATTTTGTGAAATTTATTGCCTGTAACTTGGACAACATTTACGAAATCATGAATAAAAGCAATAATTCATACCTCGTACTTTCATCATTTTGTCTTCTATTCTTTGTTCTAAAAAAGTGGGTATAATTTAAATGAAATAAAAATGATGTGCAATTCAGTTCAGTTCAGTTCAGTTCAGCAATTCAGAAAGTCAGCAAAATTATGTGTATCCAAAGCTAAGTATAATTTTGAGCCTTTAGAATATGACAAAGCAGGGTGTAGCGAACCTGCTCTCGCTGGGCGGGGAAGGGGACATTTTGATTTTCTTTGCATAATGGTTACTGGGGGGTAATTGTCATTGAAATTGGCAAAATTGAATCTAAGAAGATGGAAGAGAAACCACATTAGCAAACTGACACATACGTTTGCGAAGTTGTATATTTCAAGATTTTCTCTGACAGTTGGTTTTTCATTTGTCGACATTGCAATCTGAGATAGGGTGGCTCTTTTTACAGTCATGTCTCGTTTTCATGTAGGTCGAGGGACTGCACAACCAAATCAATCAACTAAGCAGTGAAATCGAGGCTCAGCAAAAGCAAGTGACGCGACTGAAGGATCTGCGTACGAAGCTTGATGGCCTACTTGAAAACATTTTCAACGATGAATATGGAAGTGAACTGGAAATGAAGCTTGAACTGGAATCCGAGCAACTCCTACAGGTAATTAAGGGTGAAACTAGTGGGGCAAGGATGTGGGAACGCATGGGTTTCAGTTGTAGTTTTAGCAAAAACTCTATGACAAAATATTGAAGTCAACAAACATAGTAAAGGCCTTGGGCCATGGCAGATAGGCCTTCTCTATAGGGGGTTATTTGCTTTCAGCTACTGACAACGTAGAAACTGACGTAACAGATGACGCAAAACCCTACTTAACAAATATTTCTGACGTAACTGCGTTACCGTTATCTTAGAAGATTACACAGTTTACAAAACCTATGGAAATTGTCAAGTAATTTCATATTTTTTACGTGAGTCATGACGTAAGAGCTGACGCAATACCTTGCGTAACAAAAAGGACTTTTATAGGTGCATTCGCTTTATGTTTTAAACTCAAGCAGTTCACAAGATCTTTGGAAACTGTAAAGTCTTTTCTTATTTGTTTACGTGAATCATGACGTAATAGCTGACGCAATACCTTGCGTAAGAAAAAAAACTGACGCAGATGCGTTCCCGTTACAGGTGAAGCAGCACATAAGCATTGCCCACTACAAATGGCATAATGGCCGAAACCTTATACACCATGCCTGCTTGCAGCTTGCGTTTGCGAAAAGAAGATGGGAGCAGTTGAAAGGCGTTAACCCTAATCACCTTCAGGTTTGTATGATTCCTTGATACATTGATTGGAGTAGAGCGATTGCTTGATTCCTTGATCGATTTATTAGAGTGGAATGATAGCTTGAGTTTTTGATCAATTGATTAGAATGGAATGATTATTTGATCCCTTGATCGATTGATTAGGGTGGAGTGATTACTTCATTCTTTAATGAATTTTAAGAGTGGAATGATAACTTGATTCTTTGATTGATTGAATAGAGTTGAGTGATTATTTGATTACTTGATCAATTGATTTATGTGAAGTGATTGCATGATTCCTTGATCGATCGATTAGTGTGAAATGTTTATTCGATTCTTGATACTTTTGCTGTACAGTCGAAGCAATGAGTCATTTTCTTGACAATAATCACACAGTCACAAACGGTCATGCAATCACTTTTTTAAGAAATAGTTTCTATGAATAGTAAATCATGTAATCATTGATCAAACAGGCCAAGTATCAAATGGTAGTCGAAGTGCGAAGCAACCTAATCGCAGCTCATCAAAATATCGAGCAAACAAGAGAATACTTGAAGGCTAAACTCTACTACTTCACTCCGGAGGATTCCAAGGTTTGTTTACCTTCAATGTAAACGTATATTTAAGGACATTGAAACATGATAGAATGGATTGGGTATATCGTAAGTGCCAAAATCCGCTGAGTCATGATTTTCATGACTGTGATGCTATTGGTTGACCTGGAACTGGTCACATGAACTCACCTCGTACTGATTAACAAAACAGTTTCCATAGCAAGTTGTCAACAAAGGATGCCAATATCACATGAAACAGCAACGATCACGCCGAAACCAAATCACAGAATAAGTATTCTTATTCTGTGACCAAATGACCCTCTTAATAGAAGTCCTATTTACCATGACTCAATGCCGTCTGTTCACAACAACTGCCTTCACATTTCAAGATGCACAGCTCTGTCTATACGGCATCAGACTTCATAAGCATTCACTTAGTACAAAAATTTAATAAAGATACACACGAGCGGTGCCAGAGGGTTTCAGCCCAACCTGATTTTTTTGCAAAAAGTGTTTTTAAGAAAATAAAAAGAATTGAAGCGAAGAAATAGAAAAAAAGAATAGTGCGATAATTTTTTAGTCGAATAAAGATATCAACTCTAGTCCCCCCCCCCACTTTGAGTTTCTTGGGGCTGCCCCTAATATAAAGATGCTTAATACTAAAATTTAAAAAAGTATAAACATTGCCTAATGATCGCATTAAATGTTAGGCTTGGTGTTGCAATTTAGAAGCATCCTATTCTATTTAAAGCACTGCAAACAGTAACCTTCATGAACAAATGTGCTTCATCAGTGAACAGTGGAGGTGTCAAGGGGACGGCGAGCATCAGTGAATTTATACTGATCTTGTTGCAATGGCGACCCAGACATGAAACGGGCCACTATTGTAAAGTCAGCACGCTAGCTAGTGGTGACTCAGTCAACAATTTGTGCTTAGATGTATGATAAAAACTGCATTAACTCTTTTATTTACATTCATTTCCATTTTTCTCCTTAATTTCCATTACTTGTACGTATATATCATTTTATTTTCTATTTTCCTCACTTACTCGATACTTCATCCATTACAGCTTATTCTTATTTTAAATGGCTCACTATTTATAACTTATCATGAAACTTTTCTCTTCACAGAATCTGCTAGGATCAATTAACTCGATCTTTCTTGATGTCCTCACCCTGCCAGCATTTGAAAAAGCACTCGCATGGTACAAATACTACCACTACAAGTCGGCATTGCTTCTGAACTGGATGACTCAGGTATGTGATATTATCTATGTATGACGTCATATATGTGATGCCATCTATGTATGACGTCATCTATGTATGACGTCATCTATGTGATGTCATCTATGCGATGTTATATTTGCACGACATCATCTATGTATGAAGTCATCTTTGTGGCGTCATCTTTGTTACGTCATGGGCATCTTTTAGCTGTCTTACATCAGCCATCGACGCACAGAGGCCATTCAGTTGCGAACTAAGTAACCCGATTTAAATTGAATCTTCTTTCAATAGAGATTGAGCTGAATGTCTTCAGTAGCTTTCCTTGAGCCTACGGTGAAACCCCCTGTGTGACAGACACATGAAAGAAGTGGGCAACTGTTCTTTAAGGGATATCCATAAGGAATCCAAGTTTTTGTTACATTCTCAATTTATTTGCCGTATTAATACCGCGAATAAACCTGCGATTCTTTTTAATCAATTAAAATCATCTCTTGAATTCTAGACCATAAACGACAGAATTGTTAAGGACCACAAAGACGTTTCGAGAAAGTTCCACATGAAGTACCAGGAACTCAGGGCAGAGCGCCTCCGTTGCATCCAAGAGAGAGCAAAAAAAGATCTTGACATTGACCTCGATATCAAAGAGCTTGAATCTGAGGATACTGAGGAACGAATCAATCTTGATCTTGATGCCTCGAAATCAAACATGGCTTTGACTGTGGAAAAAACTGCTGCCTCTACTGAAGACGAGGCCAGTGAAGAGCCAGCACCACCGCCACCTGAGGAGGAGAGAGATGCAATGGAGGTGCCGGAACCACCTGAAAAGCCGGCAGACCAAGGTAGGCCATTGTTGCTAAAGTTATCCCTCTTTTGAGACAGTTAAAGCAAGGAATTTCTCAGCTTATATAAGTCTTTGGCTTCTTGTCAGGTGAAAAATAATCGAAGAGCGATAAAGATTTTTTCTTACGTATTTATTTGAATCTCAAGTCGGACCTTAAAGGGGGGTGAGTGATACGATAAAGCGAATGTCCGACTTGTACTTGAATATTAAGATAGGAAAATCTAATAGGAGTTGAAAGTCAGTCCGATTTAGTGAAAGTCCGAGTCGTCCATGCTACGACTTTTGACTTGAATAAGGTAGGAATATCCAATGGGAACCAAAGATCAGTCCGACTTAGTAAAAGTCCGAGTTATCCCGGACATGACTTTTGACCTGGATATCTGATTTTTACACTCATTGCATCTGATATCTGTCCTTATTACCATTTTAGATGAATCAGGCCCCCCGGCACAGGAAGCAGTACCCCTATCAGAGCTTGCACCACCCCCGTCTTCGGAAGAGTTGTTCGGTGATATAGCCCAATTGAAAGATGAACATAAACAACAGTTGGAGGAGTTTGAGAAAGCCCAGTCCTTGAACAAAGCAAGAATGGATCAAGGGTTACAGGAGAAGCTGCGCAGGCGGAAGAGCAAAAGACGGAAGGAGATGTTGGAAGCAGAGCAGTCTTCTGAACATTCAAAGAAAATGGTGACAGTCGGTACGTATTAGAAATTTATTATGAGGCTGAGTTAACAGGGGGAATTCTGCTTGCCGAAAGTGCAGGCGCGATTTGATTTGGGTATGAGGGTGCGCCTATATATACCGTAGATCCTCGAATTGGCCCCCCTCGAATAAGCCCCCACCCTAGAACTACAAATTGCCAATAAGCCCCCACTGCTACCCTAAATCCTCGAATTGGCCTTCTCGATTTGTTGATTGTTGTCATCTGAGGTTGACTTTGATGTTTTATCGAATTACCTCAAAAATTCATACATTTGACAATAATTAATCAAATTTTGTTAAAAAAGGAAATATGCAAGACATTTTAATAATGTCTTCTTGATTTCTGCTATAACTTTATAAGCCTCCCTCCCTCGCATAAGCCCCCCACGAATAGCCCTCCATCCAAAAATATAAAATTAAATAAGTATTTACGGTATGTGAGGCTAATTCGAGTATTTACGGTATGTGAGGACCGCGGAAGCGAGACTTGGGTTACTGGGCGTGCTAAAAGGGTAGGCGAGCTTTAATGGGGTCTGGGGGTGCATCCATGCCTCTATGTCTGTGGGATCGAGGAGAAATACTGTATAAGATATGAAAAAATCTGTAGTATTCAATAAAATAATGAAGGTTTTCTAAAAGGGGTAGGTGAGCTTATATTGGGACAATGGGAGTGTAAATATTGCCCCTGTTTGTAGGGCCTAAAGCAAGTAAACTACATAAAAGAGGAAAATGTAAATTGTGGTATGATGATTAAAAATAATTATGCTTGATCAATTACAATAGGCAAGGGACCAACTACACATTTTCCCATGCTTAGATAGTTTTCGCTTTATCGTTGTCTGATTTTACCACGGGATCAAAACGGTGAACAAGTAGGATATAGGAGCTGAGTTTGTGAATCTCAAATATCTAGTTCGTTCCTTATCAAAGTCTGCCCTCTTTTCCCCGATTCACAAAAATCATACACTTTATTATTTACATCAACGATTAAGTTTTCATGACATGTGAAATTAGATATCGGTCACATTGAGACGAAATAACCTTTCCGTCTCATTACAGTTGTGAGACAACAAATTTCAGCTACGGAAGAGACGGACTTGGGTAGTGATGACCTGGAACTCGAAGTTCAGAAATATCTGAATACGGGAACATTTTGATCTAAGATACATAGTTCGTTCTCTATTAAAGCTTGCCCTCTTTTTTCGCCGATGCGTAATAATCTCACTATTTGCAGCTGCGGAGGAGCCAATAACTGCTACGGAGGAGACAGGCTTGGGTGGCGATGGAAACCCTGACATGAGGAACGAAGATCTGATATAAAGTGACGTCACCAGCACAACCTGATGTTGCTATTGGTAACCAGTTTTCATGAGACTTATGTAGCAAACATTTGCAATAACGTTAGCCATAGAACTGTAAATATTTCGTCGCTGTAAATACATCTGTAAGTATGTTGGTGTTGCTCCGCAACACATATAAACAGATAGCCAAATATCCATCCTCCCTCCCATTTTCCTTGCATCCTTGCTCCCCTATTCTCAGCCATGCATCCCTTTGTTCTTTTACCCTTCATTTCCCTTAATTTCGCTTCCATTCCTTTTAACTCCTTCCCTTTTGTATACATTTCATCCATCTCCAACGTTCCTTTATTCCACTTTTCTTCGTCTTTTCAACTTTTCCTTACCCAAAATTTCTGTCAACCAAACCCTATCACCCTAATAGTATGCCCCATGCACCCTTGGTCTGCTTCCTCAAGCCAGCCTATTCTCTCACTTTAAAACCTATCCTCCTCAAAAATTGCTTATTTATAGCTCCTCTTTATACATTAAAATACTATAATTTGTCAATCTACTTCGTGACGTTTATCGCTTAATTTGTAGTTTTCGTAGATATTCTAGAATATGCTAGATTGTTGAGCTTTAGACAAACAGGTGATTTGAGTTTTTCACCTACCATTAAAGACTCCTTTGACCCAGATTAGTAGCTGACCCAACATTTCAAAAAGAATTTGACCTGACATGATAATCACTATTCAATCCAACTTGACAATCAATCTTTGACAGGAGAATAAACAGGAGCATTTGTAGCAATTTCTTCTACAATATTAGGAGCTAACGTGACAGTAGGCCGAAGAGACATTCATTCTTAGACCCGACATGACAACATAAGGCCCTATCTCTATGACTTAACCCGACATGACATTCAGAATCCGATCCGACGCGAATATCAGTAGTTAACCAAACATCCCAAGTAGGACCAACATGAGAGTCAGGACTGGACCCAAAATTATGACCACGTTTAGGCCTACTGTTTCTATCCAGCGAGGGTACCAAATTGAGTGTCTACTAAAATGCAAAGTTTTCAACTCCTAAATAGAGCTGAGAATGAACGAATGAAATAGATCGATATTGTCAATAAAATTATTCTCGGACCTTTTTCATTTTCCAACGATGGCTCTACATTCGAAATGAACATACTGTTATGAAATGACCGCCTGTCATTTGAAAAGTAGTAACGGCATATTCCGATTTAAGTATAGACAAATAAATGGCTTCACACAGGTCGCTTTGCTGCAAATTTTAAATACATTTTCATTTAGCAGGGTTAGTTGCCGATTCACAGCTATTAATCGTAGTTTTAGTAGTTAAATATCAATTAGCTATGTTGTAGTAGAAGTGTTGGGTATTTTAGGGATTTTTCTGGAAAAATATTAAGTAACAAAGGATGACGTCACAAAATTTGTCTTAGAATTTTCCAATTTGGACCTCATTATTTGAAAAATCTTCATGAGATACATTAAAACCTGCTTAGAGGCTCTTGCGCAACCGGCATGCTTAGCGGCAGTTGCCTTGAGAAATTGACTGAAATTGATCCCATGGTAAAAATTGTTTTGTGTTCTCATGGCGCAGCACGATCTTAGGCCGGTTTTTTTTAATTATAGCCGAAAAGCATGCCGGTTGCGCAAGAGCCTTTAATCACTTGAATATGCTACAATTTGGCTGAGATATGGCCACATAAGCATAGGCCCTTTCCCCATCAATTCTCTGTAATTTGGTCTTTATTCATAACTTTATGAACCAGGCCAGAATAACAATGATTCGCAACTAGGAGCCCGTTCTTTGACTTGCTACATCTCAGTCGACATACAACATATACATAACTGATTTTGCTCATTAAGAAACATTTCATGATGTTCTTCTAGGTTATGCGATCAAATGTGAAGTATTCTAAAAGTAGATTTTTGTGACGTCACAAATTGGCACACCGTAGGTTGTCGTTGTCGATAGCCAGCTTTATCTTGTAAATAACTGCTGATTCGATCAATTCCGTTAGTATTTTAATTATACAAGGCTGATAGTCTCGGAGGCTGTTTAGGAACAGTTTATTTATGGGACCACAACTACTGTATAAAGGCCCATGCTTAAAAGCTGCCCCTTCTGTTTTGATTAAGCGGGAAGGTCAGTTTAATTATTTTTAAAAGTTACCGCAAATCATTTTGGGGGTACTGAACCCACAATAATATTATCACGCAATTTGGTCCATATTTCTTACCATAATATTACGCAATTTGGTCCAGATTTTCCACAGCTCTACACGAGATTACCCCTTGTAAGTTGTAAATATTTATATTAGGTTGAATATAATTAATTTTGGGAATCATTAATACTGTATAATTGTATTGCCTGTTATCTGCACCCGAAACAGGGTGAATGTTAAAATTGCACCAAAAACCTCGTTGGGCAATTTTCAGTATTTCTCTGCTATGATTACAGGAATTTCTGAGTTTATGATTGAGTGTTCGAGTTTATCATATCTTACCATAATTAGTTTGTCAAATCAGCCTTTTCGGCGAAAATCACGTTTTTGACAAGCCCCTTCTTCGCTTCAATTAACCCCTTTTTGAGGATGCTTGTATTTTCTCTTTCGATACTTAGATTCAATGAAATAAATTAATATGACATGGTGTGCAGTGCAAGGAATCTTGATGGTAAAAAGAGCCTAAGTTGTAAATTTCAACCTCTTAGATCGCTTTTCAAGGTAGTTCTGCGATACCCTCCCTAATTCTTTGCTACACCTTGATTAGGACACTGTTTTTCTTAAGAGAATAATTTAAGGCCCTAATTTTTTTCAGACTGTCGCCAGACTACAGATAGTTCTACACAGGGGTCTAAAACTCAGAATAAATTACTATTTTTTGCGTAATAAATTACTTGAAAACCTTAATCTCAAATATTTCAATTGATTTTTTCAGTAGCAGAGATGTACTGTCACTTGTTAATTAGGTGCTTGCTGAATTATCTTATGCAAATTTTTAAAAATTTTAAAGCTGTAATATTATATGTTGTAGCATTATGATTATTATAATGCTTGAAGAAATAGCCATCTCTCTCTCGTTGTCATTTGCCTATCTTTGAGATATATACAGGCAAAGACCGAGATACCAGGGCCTTGCCTCCTTTTCCCCAGAAAATATTAGGTAACATGATCAAAGTACCTTTTTGTAAAATATGGCTGTTCTTACACTTATTTATCAGAGCTGCCCTCCCCCTTGCCGAACAAAAGTTGTACCTCGGTCTTTTTATAAAGGACCTACAAATGACGGGGCATGCTGTTGCCGTTAGATGCTGGAAAGATAAGACACTTCTTAACCCTATCCAGACTAGGGGGGGGGGGCACAAAGTGCCCCCCTAGTTGGTTTTTCTTTCATAACTTCAGGAGTTTCAAAGCAATACCCCTCAGACCTCCTGACTTTTAGTTTTAACCTATCTGACACATGTTCATATAAAAAGATAATTCTTTTATTATTAATCAGGGGGTTGTGTAGGGGCGTTTTCAAAACTAGTCAAGTAAAAAATAGTTCAATCTGCCACGGATTCGCAACAAAAGTAGATATATTGATGAAAATTAGTATATAGGCATTAATTTGTGCTCTTTTTATGATTCTGACCAGAAAATTCAAATTCAACATCCTTTTCTATGATTTTTCTGCTGCGCATGCGCACACATTTGTTGACATATTTATTGGTATTACATTAATAAAACTGCAAGTTTAGAATAATTTGTCTCCTAAGGCATTAAAAATGAACTCAAACATGATATTTGGTTGTATCGATCATTTAGTTATATAGAAAAAACTATAGCCAAATACAAAATATGTTGAGTTCTTTTGTTGGGAACGTTAATAATTTTGAGAAGTAACATTAAAATTGTGTCAATCTTCTTGTTTCTATTAGAAAATGCATCAAATTTGCTTATTTTAATATCTTAGCCCGATTCTTTGGAATTAATGAATATTTTAAAATTTTCTAAAATTTTCTAAATTTTTGCTTCACCCGGCCACCATTATGATGACGTCATCGTAAAACCACGTGACTTAAAAATTGAACAATAATACTAAAATGTAGAGAAGAGATAAGAGTACCATCCAAACAAAGTTCATTGTCCTAGCTAGAGGGACAAAGAAATTACGGAGGGGGGGCACTTTGTCTCCCGAAAGTTTCAAAAAGCCTAGTCTGGATAGGGTTAAATGGTGACTCATACACTTTTTTTTATAAGAACAATTTTATAAGAACACGAGCCTCAAAACTGGTCGAAAGTTAAGAACAAATTGAGAACAAGCTGAGGCTGAGCTTCTGTAAATGCAATTTTGAACAACGTTGTTTCTCAAAATCGAGGATTTTAGCGATGTGTGGGTGCTTTTTCGGTGAATATTCAAATTTGTCAGCAAATTAAGGCTGTCTCACTCACTTTGTTGGCAAATGAGGCCTGAACACCTCCTTAGAGCGAAGAAGCTAGCAATAGCACTGCTTACACCCTCTTAATTTAAGAAACAAATTACGAACAATCCAGCTTCAGATTTTCGAAAAAATTAAGAACAGTCAGCCTGAACCTAAATTTACTGGTTCTTATAAAAAAAGAGTGTATATTAAAAGCCTACAAATGACTCATATATTAGAAGTTCTACAGGAGTGAAGTTTACCCAAAGACAGACGTGGATAAAGAAAAACTTGAGTTCCTTTTCACGTATCAATAGCTCATTTTGCTGACCAACCAAGAATTTGTTGGCCAATTAACCGAACAATTCATAAAAAATTGGGGGTCATACCCCTACAAACCCTATATCCCCTTGCAACTCCCTCCACCTACAAATTCAAAAATATTATCTACCGGCCTTGAATTGCATTGGACCAAGAAACATGTGGAAATGTGTTTTAACCAAACTTGCAAGAAACTAAGTCAATTGCTGAAGAAAGTTTAATAACCTCTCGAGATAAGAAATCTTCAATACAAAAACTAGCAAGTAATCTAATCTTCAAACGAAACACTTTGGAATTTTTGCAATACACGCCTTTTTTATAAGGAACCTACCTCAAGGCCTAGTTCCAAAAGCTCTTTATTCGTAGACCACAAATCATCAAATTGTAGTACCAAAAGTTCCTTAATTTGTTTTGACTAAATAGGCCTTTACATTTAATAAAGAAAGGGGCGAGACAGCATATGCGGAAACTACTCAATGAAGCACTTGACACACGAATAGCAAACAATCTATGCGAGCATTGGCTGCAAATGAATGGAACCAGCTTTTTAGTTCTTGATGCTTGCAGTTATAAAAAATTTTCAAATCGAAAAGTTTCTTAGGGATTTCGTTTTTAGTAGTATAAGTTCTTTAAATATTTCGGCCTTCTAAATGTAGGTTCCTTATAAAGTGGTTCCTTATAAGAAAAGCGTGTATACTAGATTATGGAGGAGATATTTTCTTACGTTGATAGCCAGTGTTTCTGTGTTTATTAAAACATTTCAAAATTTTTCAAGCGTCATAACTATTTACGTAAGTTCGAGGATCACAAAAACTACGCAAAAGGAATGGCTACAATAAAGCGAAAGTGTCTCAATTCTTATTAACTACATGAATTTCTTATCAGAAACAAGCCATCGACCAGTATTTCGTTTCCTAATTTTGTTCATATTTTTTGCTTGAAGGCTCACGAAAGCTTCTAAGACACCCAGTGATAAAGAAATACATTTTAGAAACACGAACATTTAAGATAAGAATAAAATGAGAGAGAACACCTAATGTGTCACGAGGAGCTAATGTTTCTATTTACAAATGTCAAATAAACAGGAGATAGGTGCTATATCGTCAAAAAAAATCAATTTCATCTCATCTAAAGTTTAGGCCTACCTTCGATTAAATCTGTCCATTTCCTCGACTTTGCTTGAAAAATTGTACTTGTCTCGCGAGCAAACAGTGACCATTCCAGCGTATATAACAACGATTGAATATTCTTCCACAGTTGACAAACTCGGCTGTTCTCATTAGAAGAAATGAAAGCCTGATTCCATTTATCAGTTTAAACTCAAATCAAAACATTGAAATTTTCTCTCGACCTTTATCTCCACGTGCGAAAAGAATTTTGCAAAATATTTTGATATTGCATTATGGGATTTCCGATTGCCTGCGTAGTGGCAGGTCAAATGCGCATCACTGAATGTGAGAAGGAGAAGATCGAAATAAATTGAGGGGTGTGTGGAGGCTGTCGGCCAGCAGTGGAATGAATTTGACTGTGAAATTGGAGTCCAGAATTAACAAGCCCAACTATTTATTTTTCCAGGATTTCTAGAAACCCCCCGTTTATTTTTCTCCCCCTGTTTCATTGACGAATACAGTAAACTAGAAGCTTGAAATTTGAAGATCGTATCCTCCATTATCTTAATAATTCACCTTCAGAAGAAAATGACCTTTTGCTTGTTGAAAACACCGTTATTAAATTTTGAGCATATCTCCAACTCCCCCTGCCTCTCCCCCCTTGACTTCAATCCTGCCCCCGCTTTTTCCCGACCTTAGAGTACACTTGACTAAACATTACAACAAGAAAGTAGCCCCACTTTAAGCAAGCACACAGAGCATGCGTCAAAAGAAAACTTCATTTATTTCACTCAATAATAAATACTCGATTTTTCTATATATATTTATATATTTATATCTTTAGCTTCAAATGTCTTTTTTTACACTATCTTGCAGTTTCTTTGGTACAGACAACTAAAATTTACAAGTTGATATTAAAACCATCAAAATGAAAATCCCAGAATGAATAAATACATAGATATTTCAACCACCAATTTGGGACAGCCATGGAAATTCCATCACATAGCTCCCAAATTAGGTAACACCAACTCTTTCGGACGTCCCAAAAAACCCAGATCTCAAATGACGTCATCGCAAATGTTAACTGTACCTATGAACTTTCAACTAGCTGCTCAGTTGCCTGTGCAGCGTCTACTTGTTGCTCCGCAACCTCACTTGTGTCCTCTCCGTTCGTTAGACTGATTTCTGGAGGAAAAGAAAAAAATTGTTGGCAGATAAGAAGAAATGAATTTAAAAAAGAATGAATTATTAGATACTCGTAAAAGGAAGTTTTCAGAATATTAGTACGGTTCTGTAATTCTCAGACCAGGAACCATCAACAAAGTCAAGAAGGAGGCGCTGTGCTGTTGGCAACTTCTAGAAGCCTAACCCGTGACCACACCCAATGCATTTCTGTTAAATACACACTCGAGTTCTGTGTTGTGTGTATAAAGTCATACCAACTGTTCACCAAATCAAAAGATGGATAGGAAATTGCTCAATCACGAAAAATCTATAGCATAAGGAAGGGTTGCCAACAAAGAACTCGTCAAAGTAAACATGGGATCGCTTGTTAAGGGGAGCCGAGTCCCTGAAATCTCTCTGAATTTTAACAGGGGGGTTAAGTCCTCTTTATGTCGACCCTGGTTACGCATTATTCTCAGGAGGACTCAACCCCTTAGCATCACCCCTGCATATTTTCCCGAAGTAGTATAAAATCTTTTGATGATAAATGAAACCATTCGAAACTAAGTTGGTTTGATTGTCACATACCAGTTATTTCTTGCGTCTGGCTTTGAGCCTCCTCTTCAGCCTTCTCCTTGGCAGCAGCCTCTTTCTGCAATCGTTCCAGCTCTTCCTGCTCTTTTAAGAGCTTCTGATGTTGAATGCCCAAGTTCTTGCAGTGCTTTTTGTGTGTGAACCAGTGCCTTTTTTGGCAATCTTGACTGCAGTACTTTGCCTGTAAAAGGAATAGTCATGAATGATTTGTGATTATCACTGATTGATGATTGACGATCATTGTTCATGGTGATTATAATGATAAATAAGTTGATTGATGGTTTTATGATTGATGGTGATTGATAATTGGTTGTTGGTCGTTAATTAATGATGAATATGATTGATGATAATCGATGATTAGTGATTCACAAACATTAATTGATAGTGATAGAGATTGATCATGATTGATCGATGATAACTGACTAGTGACGATTGGTTGATTGATTATGATTCATTTACGATGATTTATTGATAGTTGATTGATCATGACGATTTATTGATAATGAGTGACTGATGATTAATTAAAGTGAATGAAAGATTGAAGTGATACACTGGTTGGCAAGCTGATTTGATTGGTTGATTGACGTTGATTGATTGAAAAAAGTGATTTATTGATTTGAATGATTGTGGTTGCTGGTTCATTCGTTGATTAATTGAAGTTTAAGAATTGCAATTAACAAGACCTTACCACTTTACACTGGCCACATTTCTTGTTGGAATTGCCTTGCCCACAAGCATAACACGAGTTAGAGAAGTTTGCACTATAGAGAAACCATATAAGCAGGATTATAAAACTGTTATGGAAAAATAACTTGGATCTTTTCATAATGTCGTGAATAAAAATCAGACCAAGGGGGAAAAGCCCAAAGCATAACACGGATTAGAGAAATCGGTACTGTTCAAAAATCGAATTAGCGTGATAAACACGGACAAATCCCTTACAAAATTTTAAATTAATCTCCTCACAGAGACGTTTGAGGTATTCAAGAGGGTATTGCCACTTTTCTGAGAGTTGATAAGGGAGTGGGAAGGTCCCTTCAGGATGATGGCATATTAGGCAATAATATATAAGGCAGGATATCGTTAAATCACCGGTGGACAAAATAGTCCTGAACAAAAATAAAAACTCTTTATTCCCATGGTCGAAAAAGCAAATTAGTCACCTCCCTACCTTTGCAGACCGTTAATTGACTGAGTGAGTGCTGATAATGCGGTCGGCTCATTGCCCTGCGGAGGAGAGATATTTTGCAAACGTCAGTATTACTGGGACAGCTTGTGTTGATTGGCATGTCAAATTTGCCGCGAGACATAATAAGATTGATAGAGAAGTTGCTTAGAAGGAAGCTGAAATCATTTACAACTTTGTAAACGAGTAAGCCTTAGGCCTCAAACTTTGAAGAAAGCATGGACAACAACCGATAACAAATTTGTGCCTTTAAAAATCTCTTCTTAAAGACTCATTGCTAACAATGGGCCTTTGCGAGCGTGGCGACGATCCAAACAATGGCAGTAAACTTCTACGGATTAACCAAAATTGATTTCAGACTGTCTAAAAATGCATTATGGGATGCTTGCGGAGCGCAATGGCTCATTGTTAGCAATGAGTCTTTAAAACAAATTAAAATCTGGTCAAATTCCTTCACCCTAATCCCTTTTACCATCATTGTACAAAAAGACATTCAAAACATTTGAAACCCATCAGAGTAGAATTTAGTAATCAGATGTTTTCTGCGAATTTCTGGAGGGTTTCAGAATACATATTTGAAAATCAAGTTCATATTAAAATGCCTTACCCGAACAACTGGATACATGGTCCTCACTAACTGTTTGAAGAGATTGGATTCACGATAAGGAAACGAACGAATTGATTCTCGTAGAAAATCTTCCATAGCCAGAGGAAAGCCATCACTTTCTCTGCCCTTCAATAACCTGAAACAGAGAGAAACAAAGAGTTGCACTCAGGGGTGTGGTGCTACGGTGGCCAAAAATTGGCAAATTGGTGTAGTGCTAGGGTGGCCAAAAATTGGCAGTCCTTGTTGTTGCCAAAAATTGGCAAATTGGTGTAGTGCTACGGTAGCCAAAAATTGGCAAATTGGTGTAGTGCTAGGGTGGCCAAAAATTGGCAGTCCTTGTTGTTGCCAAAAATTGGCAAATTGGTGTAGTGCTACGGTAGCCAAAAATTGGCAAATTGGTGTAGTGCTAGGGTGGCCAAAAATTGGCAGTCCTTGTTGTTGCCAAAAATTGGCAAATTGGTGTAGTGCTACGGTAGCCAAAAATTGGCAAATTGGTGTAGTGCTAGGGTGGCCAAAAATTGGCAGTCCTTGTTGTTGCCAAAAATTGGCAAATTGGTGTAGTGCTACGGTAGCCAAAAATTGGCAAATTGGTGTAGTGCTAGGGTGGCCAAAAATTGGCAGTCCTTGTTGTTGCCAAAAATTGGCAAATTGGTGTAGTGCTACGGTAGCCAAAAATTGGCAAATTGGTGTAGTGCTAGGGTGGCCAAAAATTGGCAGTCCTTGTTGTTGCCAAAAATTGGCAAATTGGTGTAGTGCTACGGTAGCCAAAAATTGGCAAATTGGTGTAGTGCTAGGCTGGTCAAAAATTGGCAGTCCTTGTTGTTGCAAGAACGCCCTTGTTATTTTTATAACACTACACCACTGGTTGCACTTTCGTTTAAATGTCAGCACAAAATTTCAACAACTTTAAAGTCAATATGTCCCGCTAGTCAATCGCTCAGGGATGGAGAAAACATTCAGAACTAGCTTATTGGATAGGTAACAATTGGTCTATTGTATAATCCAACCAATGGGAAATTTCAATGGCCAGCGAAATGCGTCGGGACATAGTGCTTTTAATGAACAGAGTTTAAGAGTGATGACGTCACGAAGTGTAGAAAGGACGGGAGGGATGCACCTGTAAATGTGACGTATGCCAAATTAAATGATTTTATTGTAAATTTGCATCTAAAAGGCATTAATCATCATTACTTTGTATATTTCGTAAATAAACGAATTAGAAAAAGTCATTGTATATTAACATAAAACTAGATTCCATTTAAAATAAAATTACAAACAAAGAAACCAAATCCGGTTATGAATTGTTTGAACAAAAATAGTTTGAATCCGGTTAGATCGTAACCATAACCCGGATTACTCGGCTTCAAGCTTCTTCTGGCCGATTCAATGTTTACACAATTCAATCATGACGTGATTTTCAAGACGAGGCCATCAGTGAAATGGGTGTAAGCTTACTTTTTAATGAAGCCTTCGATTCCATCCTCGGTTTCATGCCATTTGACGCATTTCTCGTAAACACAAGCAAAACAATGAACCTTCATTGCCATGATCTCGTTAACCTCCTTTTTGAACAGGTGTTCTCGTTTCAAATCGAGGATTCGCGTCACTTGAGTCGAGTTTTCAACCAAGGCGATGTTTTCTTGTAAAAATAAGGAAATCTGAAAGAAAGGGTCAATAGGTCAAAGTGATAATAGGTCATTAGAAAAGCGTGGAGAAGCGCGATTAGAGTAATTCTTGGGGGAAACAAACCAGCATTCATACGAAGGTCTGTTGGCATTCAAAATTGTGCATCATATGAAAAGGGGCAGTAAAAATCGATGTCGTCATGGGGCACTTATCAGTCTCATGGAAAAAAGCTAGTCTCGAGTCAACAGGCGAATAGAATGAAGATAAAAGTGTGACATCAAAAGTGTGAGAATGAATGTCTGGTTATAACTGATTATAATGGTTCAGGAGCTTGTCAGTGCTTGCTAATTTAATTTTATGTCATTTTATTCATTTCACAGAAAGAAAGCTGAAGGAACTATCGATACTGGCGCCCAACTTGGGTTTTCCATGGGTGAGGGAGGGGAGTGGTTAGTGGGGGACACGTTTTCGGTCAGATCAATTTTGTATTTCGCCTAAATTCGATGCGAAAATATTGATGATGGGTTAAATTTTGGCAACCCTTTTTTGTGATGTAACCCTATGATTTTGAAACTACTTTCAGGTAGCCAAAAGTTAGTCATGGGCGTTCCCTTTCAGGTAAAATTGGTGTTCCTTTCTGGTAAAAAGACGATTTCAGGCGGCAAATAGGGCGTGGCATAAAAATCGATGATTTGTTTTCCCCTAAAAATTATTTGCTAGTAAAAAATTTTTCAAGCAGTCTTGCACCGATGTAAAATTTGTTAACCATTTTTATCAAAACAACCAATCATTGTCAGTACATACTCTCTACGTATCGGAGCACGTCCAGAGAGAACCGAAAATGCACCAGACTTGACTTGTAATGTGCTACCGCCTAGAAGCGTCGGTAAGAATTTTCGATCTGGTCCTGGGGTGGTAAAGGCCCCCTCAGTGGGGTCCAAGGTAACCAAAAATGAAAGATCTCGCGATTTGGAGCTTATTACCAGTAAGAGTACATACTACTTAAATACAAAAATTTTGATACAAATTCACATGTCAATGTCCATAGGCCCATGAAAATAAACAAAGTTAGGTCAAAGATAGTCGTCTTTATCATTAGTACTATTAAAGGCATTGAGTCATGGTAAATAGGCCTTCTCTATAGGGGGTCATTTGGTTTCGGCGTGATCGCTGCTGTTTCATGTGACAACTTGATATCCGTTGTTGACAACTTGCTTTTGATGAAAATTGTTTTGTCAATCAGTACGAGGTGAGTTCATGTGACCAGTTTAAGGTCAGCCAATAGCATCGCAGTTATGAAAATCATGACTCAGCGGATTTTGGCACTTAGGGTATACCCAATCCATTTTATAATGACTCAATGCTTTTAATAATTCTTTGATTCAAAGTTTACAGTTACAAACATAAAGCTAATTGGCAGTTACTTAAAAGCTTATTGAGGCCAACTATCTCTGCAACAAAATCTATGAAACCCTTTCTCACAAGGTCGCTATTGCACCTGTGCGTGAAAATTTTTCAGAAATAGACAAAAGGAAAGGCAAAAACGTTTACAAAACATCTTTCATAGCAAATATCTTATGAAACGCAATACAAGACATGTCTATAAATTTCGACTGGAAACGTCTACAAAGTTCAACTTCCAGATCCGACTACTTTCCAGTTTTGCTTCCGTATCTCTGGCGATATGAGCTGCTGTACCTACTTCTGTACCCACCCACAGGAACACGTGGTCTGTATCTGTTATATCTACTTCCGGTGTAGCGGCTCCCGGTGTACCGGCTTCCGGTGTAGCGACCAGTGCTTCCGGTATAACGGCCTCCAGTGTAGCGGCTTCTGTAGCCGGCACCATAGCGTCTTCCAGTGTAGCGGCTTCCAGTGTAGCGGCTTCCAGTGTAGCGGCTTCTATAGCCGCCAGACCCTAGTCTAGAGTATCTGCTGTTGTATCGGTAGTTTGAGGATGGGTAGCCGCCGGAATACCTAGGAGAAATAATCATCACTGGTTTAAACTTGGATGATAAACTCTTGGCTTCTTTGGCACATCAATTCTCAGATATTAAAACTATTCTTGACAACGTTATTAAACGATAAAATAAAAATGATAATTATGTATTGCGTTACACAATCATGTATCACAAATACTTCATACCTTCAAAAAGTTTACTTTTCCAAAAGATCCTTTTCTTAAAGTTAACATTGTGGCCTTGGGCATTTGTGTGAAAGGTCAAAGTTCAGAGCATGGTATTCTGGGAAATTTCATATATTATACAGAAAGTACGGATGATTTTAGCAGGATCTAATAAACATCTATAATATTCTATATCTTAGCAAATGCAAAAGATAGCAAACATAAGAAAATTACATTTGAACCAACTAATTTCCGTAGGGAAAGGATGTTATCCCCTTGGGTAGAAAAAAACTTGATTCAAAGGCCAAAGGTGACGAGTTTTTGCGTAGACAGAAGAAGATTTGTTGTCACTGTCTGTACAAGCCACTGTCCGTAAAGGCCACTATCCGTAATTTTACTATATAAGAAAGGACATTTCGATAAAGCCATAGGATGTCAATATGGAAAAACTTGATCTGGAGGAATTATTGCGTAAATCATTACCGCTAGAGAGAAATTGCTAGCTAAAGTGACGTGTTTTAGGGGTACAGAGAAGATTCATTGTCCTAATGCATAAAGCCTCGACCCTTAGGTTGTGAACATGGGAAAATTTAATCTCATGCAATAATCACGATAATGCATACATTTAGGGAGATATAATAACTCGCGACTAACCTTGAATAGTATCCATCGGTCTCATCGTTGCCAGATCGTGTGACGTCACCAGAGTCGCTGCTAGAGTCGGCTGTCCCATCGGCATTCACCAGGTAGAGTGCAAGCAAGACAGTAACAAACACAGAAAGATGCATCTTTGCTTCTTTACACGATGTAGTATTTGAACTATGAACTTTGAATTATGGACTTAGAACTTTGTACTATGCACTTCGCAGTGTACAGTTTTCGCTTTAGCACTGTGTAGGTTTCAGTTCGCCGGCTATGAGGACAGGGTGTTAAAGCGCGGTTTTTATAGCAAAGCTGAGGGCGATATTGGGCGGTAGTTGTTAATCACAAAATACGGGGGAGTGCCTACTATGACCAGCTGCCTTAGGCAATAATGATAATTTATGTCACGAAACGACATAATTTAAGCCATTAGTTTTGAAATAATGATAAAACAGACAATTGATGAAAATACTTAGAAAAATAGTTAAAAAGCGGATGTAAACATGATTATTGTGAAAAGCGATTTTGTAAACAGAATTTTCTAGATTTGCCAAAATGCAGAGAAATACATAGGCTGTTCGTGCAATTTTCGGAATTTTGCGACGGAATTTAAAAAATTAAAGGTAAGAGGGAAAATTGAACAAAAAAATAAATTTACCACGAGAAAAGACTTAATAATAAGAAAATATATAAATAAGACAAGTTACTTTCTATGGATTTTGTTAAACAAATATCGTAATTCCATTGACGCAAAAACGTCTTTAGCCGTGGTCCAAATCTTCTGCTTTTCAGACACGCAAAGAAGACCTATACTACACAATAGAGAACTTCACGGATTTATCTTATAAAGAGATATATGTGATGAAAAATTCACGAAATTGCATTTTTATTGGAAAATCTCCAATATGATAAAGGGGTTGCAAACACAGATTTCGTCCGATATGTGCTCGCATGTTAAAAGAGGGCGGTTGAGCAACCCCCAAATCTCCCTGAAATTCAGCAAGGGGGCTGAGCAAAGGGGTCTTATTTACGTCATCTCTGGAGCCGCCCGGCTCTACACACAAAAGATTGTACAGCTCGGCCTATACAGCATTGTGGAGTAACTATATGATGAAAAATGAAATGAAAATGAAAATGAAATGAAAATCACATAAGAAAGCAGAAGTACAGTTGCCTGATGATCGCAGTCGAATATGTAATCAGAATACAATATGATCCTTATGATCGCATTAAGCGTGGAACTCGGAATGGAAACTTAGAACTGTCTTGTTCTATACACCAAATAGCGTGTACAGCTCTGTCTATACGGAATAGAGCACTTTATGACAGACTGGTAAACTGTAGTTTTCATTGGACAATATGCTTTGTACACAAATAGTCTAGTAAAAAGCATGCAAAATGCCTGATGATCGCTTTATGCGTGAAACTGGAAGTAGCAACTAAGAACCGTCCTGTTCTATACACCAAATAGCGTATACGGAATAGAGCATTTTGTGACAGACCGGTCAATTGTGAATTTCATTGAAAAACATATGTATACGAATAAGGACAGAAGGAAGCTAATTTTTCCTTTCATGATTTTTAGACAAAAGTTCATTTAAGAAAATTCTTGGACATTGGAAAGGAACAACCATAGCAAAGTACAACACTCGTCTAAAATACCAGTGCTTGAGGCGAACGACACAACACCCGTCTAAAATGGCACTGCTTGAGGCTTATGACACAACGCCCGTCTGAAATTCCAATGCTTGAGGCCAACGACAAAACACCTGGCTTAAGGGCACTGCCTGAGGCAAATGACACCAATGAAGTCATAACGACACACCTTAAATTTTATCCCTAACACTTTTGACTTAACAACGGGGATGGTCTTATACACAGTAATAGAAGTAGGGCTTATGGTAGAGGAATAGATACGCACTCATCAAAATCCCAGTTATTCATTGATACTTAGTGTCAAGGACTCAATTGTGTAGTATATTTAAATCACAACACGTGCTTTTTAAAGCGTCTTTAAGCTGCATTAAAGAAGCCAATACCAAAACTAAAAATACTTTAAAGTATGGGCGGTCTAATGGCCTAAGTTGCCATCAAATTTGCCCTTCTACCCGCAAAGATTTTGAACAAACTATTCTGGATTCTAGTACAAATTACACTTTAAACAAATTCCAATAAAAGACATACATGTAACTTCAAAACAAAAAAAGAACTTAATCTTGTGTTATACTTGAAAGAATGAATTATCCAAATTTTCAGTGCATCTCATTAATGTTATTATAAAAAGAAATTTAGATCATGAAAAGGCTTTTGGCGTTCATAAGTTCACAACTTCTGTGGATTTATACATAACGATTTAAAGTTGATGATCGCATGAAGAGTTAAAATCGAAGCTGCAACTTAGAACCGACCTGTTCTATACACCAAAGTGTGAACAGCTCGGTCTATACGGCATCACGTACTGTATGAAGACCAGTTAACAGTAGCCGTTAAAAGTCAACATACTTATAGGGCATAGGAAATACATATTATCTGATTCCTGCAACTCTGAGTTACGTCCTAAATGTTGTGGCACCAAAGATAATGGGTACCGTCCTAAACAGCTAGGGGGTTTGCTGAAAGAATTTTTCTTTAAGCTAAACCCGTATAATATTAAAATTCATGTTTCAAATTATCTGTTGTGTATATGAAGCATTCAATTTATTCAGACTCAAAAATACTGATAGGAAATACTGGGAGAGGGGGGGGGGGGCTTGTTAAGGATATTGTCTTGAGACCATTATCATATTTTGAATACAGATTTTGCAACTTATCTTTGCGTTTGCGGCCACGGTGGGGGGGGGGTGTAAGGATATTGTTTGAGACATTATCATATTATTTTTGAATACAGATTTTGCAACTTATTTGCGGGGCGGGGCACGTGGGGGGGGGGGGGTGTTAAGGATATTTCTTGAGACCACATAATCATATTTTGAATACAGATTTTGCAACTTACTTTCGCGTTTGCGGCCACGGTGGGGGGGGGTGTTAAGGATATTGTCTTAGAAACCATAATCATATTTTGATACAGATTTTGCAACTTATCTTGCGTTTGCGGCCACGTGGGGGGGAGGTGTTAAGGATATTGTCTTGAGACCATAATCATATTTTGAATACAGATTTTGCAACTTATCTTTGCGTTTGCGGCCACGGTGGGGGGGGGTGTTAAGGATATTGTCTTGAGACCATAATCATATTTTGAATACAGATTTTGCAACTTATCTTTGCGTTTGCGGCCACGGTGGGGGGGGGTGTTAAGGATATTGTCTTGAGACCATAATCATATTTTGAATACAGATTTTGCAACTTATCTTTGCGTTTGCGGCCACGGTGACTTATGCACGCGGTTTGCACATTTCAATAATGAATTTGGACAACCCCTGGCCTTAAAAAGTGCGACTACATCTTGGAGAAAGTATTTTGTTGTTAAAGGAAAAAACTCGGGTTACGGAATGCGTGGCTTGATTTGCAAGATAAATGTTACAACTGCAACAAATTTGTCATTGCAGATTGCCGCTTTTGGCTCATTATATCATGGATTGCAGCCCACCCCCACCCCCCAGAGAATACCCCTACAATAGGCATCTTTATAGTAAACGAAAAATGGTAACCAGCTTTTACAATCGTCCACGAAAATTGAGACTGCTTTTCCTACCCACCTCACATCAATGCCAACGTTTGATGCATTTCACCAAAAGAAAACCTATCGAGATTATTCTGTAAACCATCCATAATTTTGACTTAGGCCTCAGACAGACATATTTGTTGCTCAACCCTTCCACTGTCCCCTTCACTCCCCCGCCCCCTCCAAGCAATGTTGTTTGTTGAGACTATGTTAAATAGTTGCAAATCATGTGTACAAAGACCGTATACAATAACAAGATCTCAACAAACAACATTGCTTGACGGGGGAGGGGGTCAAATACAATACACCAATTCGACTTACGGCCTCATTTTGAAAAATTCTTCAAATTCTTTTGTACAAAATGTTTGACCTCAGATTCGGATTGAAAGCAATGATTTTAGTCTAATTGTAAGTTTTCATTATGATATTGCTCACGATATTTTTTTTTATGACGACATGAAGATAAAAACTTTATAAGGGATTTGACCGTGATTGGCGACTAGGGGGGTAAAGTTTCCCCCGGAACGACTTTTGCGGTCAAATCCCTTACAAGTTTTCAAACTTCATTTCTCGGTAAAATCTAAAATACAAGCTCAAACAATATGAAAAATGGCATCCCGCCTAAAATTATGGCGAAAAAACCAAATCTGAGCTTAAAAAAGTCGTATAATTAAGTTTGGAGAAATTTCCAAAACGAGGTCGTAAGTCGAATTGGTGTATTCTATTAGATTACTGTCAATAAATTTGTTCGAATTTTATCACTGGTTTCAATATACTTTTTGAAGGATTGTAGACTTAGGAACCTCAGAGGTGATACTGAGGAATCTCAAAACGTTGATTTATGCGTTTCGCATTACTAGGGATGGTTATTTAGAGAATTCACTGTAGGTGAGATATTTCGCCAAGCTAAAGTTACAGCAATGTCTAATTGGGCCTAGCGGTAAAAAGGAAATCCATCATTCTTATGAAAAGACCTCTACTTAGAGCACATGACTTAAAAACGTTGGTGGCCACAAAAATTCTTCCCAGAGGTCGACCCTTCAAAATTAGACCAATAAAGTCTCAGACGCGAAATATTCCCTAAAGCAAAATTTTGACCTTTGACTTTGAAGAAAAAGTGGTCCAATATTTTCTTTTCTACTTCAAATATTACAAAAGAAATTTGGCTGATGGCGAGTACTGTTATTGATAACATAAATTTTTTTTTATAAAAAATCAAAAAAATAAATTTTATAGATTTTAAATGTTATTGAATTCAAAAAATCTGCACTTACAAAAACAGGATGAAGATTTGTAATGATGATAAAACGCTGCAAGGGCTCGGCCAGAAATGATGCTAGTTTTGGCTCTTTTTCCAAACCTGTTAATCGAAAGAAAACATTCTGTTGATCAATTCTTAAATGTTTATGAATATAAGATATTATGCTTACTGTTAATTAGCAGAGCTTAACCAGGGGCAGACGCCTGGGGGGCGATGGGGGGCAGTCACCCCCCCCCCAATATTTAGGAAAACTATGGTATCTTGTTCTAAGACAAAGGGAAAATGTGACGTCATCTTATCAAAACAATAGGCTTGCCCCCCCCCCCAATATCTGAGCAAATGTCCGCCCCTAAGCTTAACCCCAACCTGTAATCTAAGTCAGGGGCCGCACAACAGGGGGTAGGGGCCATGGCCTCCCCACTTTCTCACAAAGTAAAATACTAAAATCAGCTTAAATGAATTCAGATAGATAAATCTTCAGAATTTGTAATGAATACATTTAGCCAAAGCACACAAGTAAAACAACGTCAGCAACATTTTTGTGACAATTGGGGCTGAAGGGGGGAAGAGGAAACTTTCCTTACATCGCTGGCCCCTCCAGTTTAGAATCTGTGGTGCAGGCCCTACACGAAGCCTGCTCAAGCTCCAGGTAAAAAAACCGCATAGAAGGAAAACATTTTTGCGGATCAGACTGTACGGTTTCTTGAAAAAGAAATAAATCTAATCCTTGATTAATCCTTTATTAATCTTCAGTTAATCCTTGACTAATCCTTGACCTACCTTGAGGCTTTGTGTAGTACTCGATGTCATGTCTGGCAATATAGTTATTAATCAGGCTGACGCAGTCATGCCTACCTGCAAAAACAAACCAAAGAACGATGTACGGTCAATCTAGAATATGTTATCAATAACTGCTTGGTTGAAGTGATTCTAGGAGGCTATGAATATTTACAGGATGTTATATAAGCTACAAGTGATGTAGGATCGATCTGGAATATGCTATTATGGACTGGTTCGTTGAAACTGTCATTAGAACATATAGAGAATGTTATATAAGCCATGTGCGATGTAAGAACGATCTAGAATATGTTGTTATGGACTGCATTGTTGAAACAGTAATTGCAGGCTAAGAACATTTCGAGGAAGTTATGTAGGGCCACGCGTAATGCAAGATCGATTTGGAATATGTTATTATGGACTGGTTTGTTGATACTGTCATTGGAGGCTAAGAAAATATGGAGGATGTTATATAAGTCACAAGTGATATAGGATATGTTGTCAATTATTGGTTCATAGAACTTACAAAAGACAAAAGACATAAGACAAAGACAAAAAAGTGACAACATAAATTATTGCTAGGAAAGGCAAGATACACCCAACAAAGGGTTCTTAAATGGAAAACAAACCATAAAACCAATCCATAATTCAAAATAGCCCATTAAAAAAGACATTCCAAGCCAAATAGGACATTACCAGCGAATAACAAGAGAGATTAGAAATAAGTCAAGAGCTTCTTACTATATAACCGACATCTTAGCTTAAGCAAGAAAATCACAGCTTCAAGATAATAAAACTTGGAATGCTGTAAAATATTTGCTTTTTTCAAAGCTATTTCTAAACTTGAGAATAAAAATATTAATAGTAAAATAAAGAATAAAAGTATCAATAAATTTTTAGCTTTAAATGAAAAGTTTCAACATGAGGCACATTGTGTCTCATTATAGGACACAATATTTCTTTAACTTCTGACATTGTTTGAACTAATTTAAAGTAACTTGAAACTAGATTTCTAAAAGGAATAAAAGCAATATAGCTTATAATGTATGAATATACATTGTATAGTGATAAAGAATATGGTCTTACCAACAAATGCTCCTAATTGTGTTGCAGTTTTCCCTATTTTGTTCTCAATTGATGGATCGGCACCGGCATCGAGTAAAAGTTGAACACATTCTGTTGAGCCTATGAATAAAATTGATATGATATGATATGATATGATATGATATGATATGATATGATATGATATGATATGATATGATATGATATGATATGATATGATATGATATGATATGATATGATATGATTTGATATGATATGATATGATATGATACGATATATGATATATGATATATGATATGATACGATATATGATATGATATGATATGATATGATATGATATGATATGATATGATATGATATGATATGATATGATATGATGTGATATGATATATGATATGATATGATATGATATGATATGATATGATACGATTTGATATGATATGATATGATACGATATGATAAATGATATATGATATATGATATGATACGATATATGATATGATACAATATATGATATGATATGATATATGATATGATATGATATGATATGATATGATATTATATGATATGATATGATATGATATGATATGATACGATTTGATATGATATGATATGATATGATATGATACAATATGATACAATATGATAAATGATAAATGATATATGATATTTGATATGATACAATATATGATATGATATGATATGATACGATACGATAAGATACGATACCATACGATATGATACGATATAATTGTTTATATTTGAAATATAGTGTTTCATTATAAAACATAATACTGTTATAAGAGAAAATACCTGCTAATGTTGCAAACATCAATGGAGTGTACTGAAAAACAATGTTTTGATGTCAAAATGGAAATGATACAAAAATGACACATTTCAGCCAAGTTTAACACACGTATTCCAATACTATTCTCTACCTTTAGGTATGATGTTAGTATTCTGTTTTAACTTGGCATTTGGCACTCCAACATGGTTCAATTTTAGCTCTACAACAATGCCAGTAACACAATTTTGTGATGTAGACAGAGAGGATGTGTTTGTTTTGCCTGGTCAAGATCAACATGTTCAGCGTAAAACAAAATTTACTTTTAAACAATGATTGAAATTGTTTTTTGAGTGAAAAATTCTCAAAAAACTTTTTGAATGTTTTGTATCTAATTCAATTATTGTTTTATTTAACAAAAAATTGAGAATAATTTTCATCCATTTTTCATGATTTCTTTAATATATATTTATCTTATCTTATGTTAGAACAAATAAAATCTTACATCAAATCAAAGAGCAAAGAGTAGCCATAGAACAACAGTTAGGTTAAATTTTAAAGGACAAATCTTTAATAACAAATGGAAAATTTAAAGGACAAATCTTTAAACAAATTACTCCATGATCAGAGCTTTTTCTGTTGACATCAGCACCATGTGTGATCAAGACATCAAGTGATTCATTGTCTCCTTTGTATGCAGCATGCATTAATGCTGTCATCCCATTCTGAAATCAGACAAACCTTTAAGATGGCTGTATGAAAATCTGGACCTCAATGTAGAACTGGATCCACAGAAATCTGGGGTAAAGGGGCAGAGGAAAAGGGCTTGAAGGATGCTTTCTTAAAGTTGAATCCTGTTAGGTTGTATCCCTGATAATAAGAACATTTACAGAAGTCCAACTGATTTTCATTCAAATTAAATACTATACTATTATTTTAGGTTATGCCCAGGATAAAATGGATATTTGCTGAGTCAGACAACTTCCTTACCCCCTCCACCTTTGAAGGTCTGAATTCATGGGAATTAGCTGTAAATTCAAATCGGATGTTTGCTGTAATATGCTGTGTTGCCAACAAGGACATGTCTTCAATCAACTCCTTCCTGTGTGATTAGCTAAGACTTATAAAATGGCAACAGCTAAGGCACTTGAAGGCTAACATAGATTTCAGGTCATCTAAAGGCCATCCTTTATCAAAAGGCAGGGGGGGAAAATATGAAAAAGGGAGAGAAGATTTGGGATAGGGCATTGATACAAACTGACAGAATAAGAATTTACTGATAAAACTTCAAAGTTTATTGCCATTAGGACAGTTTTCTAAATATTGAAAATTGAAAATGGTTCTGAATATTTGCAGTGCTGCTGGAACTAAGTTCATATTGGGGGGGCTGCCCATTGTATTGCCACCCATTCAGTATGCTGTTATAAAATAATTGGGGGTTCCAGCTCCCCATACCACCCCCTCAGGCCACCCCTTAACTTCCGATGTCCCTGATAATTTGATTCAAAATTAGAAAATTCAAGCTAAATAACCATATCAAGAATTATTCTCATCTAGAGAAAAAATATTTTTAAGAATATACTACAAAAAAGGCTCATAACTTCTAAGGCAAAGTTCCTACGGCAGCTTACGAAAGTATTAATGAAAGAATTTGTCACTTGGTACCTTGTCAAAATAGTCAATTTTGATATTCCATTGGCTGGACAGTCTTGTAACTTCGCTGATGTCTTCTGAAAATTTCAAAGTATGTGAGAATTATTTTGCTTTATTTTTACTTTCAAACCATTAAAATTTTGTCAACATTCATTATCTGAGACAAACTGCTATGTAATATATCAAAAAAGCTAAGTCTAGGCATATTATCAGATATATGGAGTGAGTGTTTGCTACCAAACCCTTTAACTAGAATGCTTAGAACCTTAAGCAGAGAAATATTGTTGTCTATCTAAAGCTTAGCTGTGAGCACATGCAAGTTATCCTGCCAGGGGGAGCGAAAAACAACAATTGAAAAAGATTTAGGCCTGCATAAGAATAAATTTGTTATGAAAAAGGGATTTTGTGAGCACATGTTTCAGAAAAAGATATTTGCAACATAGCTTAAACAAAAAATATAGGTTTCTTTTCGAGTAACAAGATTACATAATGTGAAATGCCATTAGAAAACCATTAAGTTCTCCAAACTCAAGCTGCAAGCTTCTTATATGAGCTCAAGGAATTTGAATGCAGCTGCAAAGTTTTAAATGTCTTGAAGCTTCTAATGGAACTTCAATTTCCAGTACTTCGCAAAAGGACCCACTTATAATAATTAATAAACTAAAGAAGACAGACGGCAGAACATTTTATTCTGTTTATCACCAAAAAAGCTAATTACTTTGGAGCCATCTTTTTCCTGGATGAATTTTTTCCAGAAACTGTGGCAAGCAAAGTCCAAGAGCGCATTAAGGGACCAAAGGACAGACATTTTTTGCTGTTTACAGATGAAAATAGGCCTTTCATCCCTTTTGAAAATGATACATATATGTTTTTTTGTTCAAGCTTTACCTCTAGTGTGCAATGTAAGTTATGCAGCAAACAGTAAGTTAGGGGCATTATGGCTTACACCTGTCTGGGGAAGCAAGCATTATGGCTTACACCTGCCTGCCGTCTTCTATACCACTCAGATAATTTAACTAAATCCGTTTCTTTATGGTTCAAAATTACAAAAAAAGGTTTACAACACATCTTTCTGGGTTTTCTATGTTCAAGAAAAGTCACTTGTGTTCTAAATTTTCAGCTACTTTTGGAAGAGTGAAGAAATTAATTATCTTTCTTGTGAATAAACAAACTTATAGCTCGAGTTCAAATTTTTGGCCTAACAAGAATTCGAGAAATATAATCGCTGTAAAAGCAAGTGTTTATTTTTGACAATTATTTGGTTAAAATGTGAATCTTACTGTCCCGGGCTGCTTGCAACAGACGATCTTCATCAGACGTAGGATTACTTGCAGCTGCTTCTCCATTCTCAGCTTCGTGGGTTTTTTGTTCACCTTGCGTGTCCGCCATCTTCGTGAGAATATTATGGATGAGATGAGTTGAATTAAAAATACCAAGAACGATTCCTTCGCAGGGACGTGGTTGTGAATTATGACGGGGGTTGAATGCTTAGAAAAATGTGCCTTGAAAGGTGAGACAAAAAGGAAGTAATTATTGTCATTTTCGTCATAATTATAATTAAAAACATTTTAATAATCATCAGGGGCTCTATGTAGCTGTATAAGAATCTCATTTTGAACAGTTGGAAAGTTTTTTAGCATTGCATGGCACCAAATTATATTATTCGGTAATACTTGTGTTGACAAGCTGTTTTTGAGCTAAAAGCATTGCAAGAAGCAGATTCAGTTCCGTTTTTCTCTTCCTTTAAAAGAACAATTCTATAATAATACGAGCCTCAAAACTGGTCAAAGGTTAGGAACAAACTTAAGCTGAGTTACTGTGAAATGTTATTTTGAACAAAGTTGTGAAGTCCCCTTAAAACATTCCATCTCAAAACCGAGGAGTTTTTGCAATCTAGGGGTGCTTTTTGTATG